CGATGGGAGGAAGAGTTAGGAGTGGTGTAGAGATTTTCCCAGGCTTGTCTCTTAGGGATGCGATCATTGTTAATGTCATTTTAGGACTGGTACTCTGGCTGGTCTTGGGTTTGGGATTCAAACTGTTTTGGGCACTGAGGCCAAAACACTTGTCCAGGCAGGGCTCAAAACTGTATTTTGGGCACAAGAGCCTTAGGGTGGTATGGCCACAAGTCAGAACCAGGTTCATCTTAGGAAAACATGCAGGCTGGGCCTGAGATACCTATGCCGGGGTCCCCGTCCGTAGAGCTGCCGTCGCAAGTTCCGGGATATGGGCCGTAAGTGCATAAAGTTGCAGAAGCCACCTCGGGTACATTCCCTAAAGACAGACAGACAGGCCATCATCACTGACAACCCCCCCCCCCACACACACACACACCAAACACTCAAGCACCTGGAACTCCCTATGCCTAGCCCACTTTTAAGCCTCCTTTACCCCATCTCATACTGCCGGCAGCATGACTCTCGGAAGTCGGTGACGGGAGACAGCTCGGCGTGCACGGCCTGCCCGTTGAACCAGCGGTTATTGAGTTCATTCACGGCCCGCTCTGCATCCTCCTCCCGCCGGAACTGAGGGGAAAGTGGGTGACCGTGGGCTGTGGAATTCAAGGTCTTGGGGGTGGGGGCTGATCAGCTCTGAGGCTGGCCCTAGCGATAATCCTCAGGCTGTGAGGTTTCAGCGGTGGCCGTCAGGTGCTAAGCAGGAGCAACAGGCACCTTAACATAGACGTTGCCCACGAGGTGGTCCCCAAGGTTGTCGCACACGTTCATCTCTTCAATCTCGCCATACTTTTCCTGCAGCTCCGTGAACACCTCCTGCGGCAGATGGGGAAGGGCTCAGCTAAGGCCCGGCGCACGGGAAACCCAGCTACCCCAGCAACCCTCACCTCAAAGAAGTTATCATAGTGTTCCTGCACCTCGACGTCGCTCACGTGACCTGGAGGAGGCACGGAGGGTGAAAAGGAGGGCGTAAACCGCTGGGGGCTGTCCGCCCAGCCCCTGAACTATCCGGCTTCTTACTCACAGTGGGATCCGTCTGCGGTTTGGGCTGTGTTCTGTGGATTCCGGTACAAGTTGAGCAGGACTATGGTCTGAACAAAATTTAAGAGAGGCCTGCGCTCAGAAGGCAGAGCGGCAAGCACCGTAGGTGTGAGGCTGGGGCGTGAGGCGCGAACCGGCGGAGGCGGTCGGACACTCGCTCCTGAGAAACAACCTAGGCGGCCCAGGGGCGTGGTCTGTGGCCGTGGGAGGCGTGGCCCAGTCCCTGGGAAGTAGGGTCTACCCAGAGGGCCAGGTCGGGAAGCAGAGAGGGGTAGGATTGGCCTTAGGAATCCGGAAGGGGCGGGTCCCCGGGTTGATGGGCAGCTCGGGGAGGCGTGAATCTGGGTCTCACCTGGCTGAAAGTCGGTTTGTTGTGAAGTCGGGAGCACCGGTCCCCGTGCCGGCAGGCCCCAATCTTAAAGTAAAAAGAGCAGTTAACCCTGGAAGAGGTGCAAAGACAGAGGTAAGCCGAGGGCCGCGCAGGCCGGGCTTCCCGCGAACGCTGCCCTGTCCGCCCAGCCCCTAAGGACCCAAGTGCCCCGGCTCCCTGGCAGGCCACTGCCTTCACCAGCCTCACTTGTCCTTCTCAGTCCCGAATATCGAAGCTAAATATTCAGCCATTTTTACCCGAACACTCCAACGCGCCTGCTCCCCGCATCACTTCCGTTGCTCGGGAGCGTTGGGAAGTGTAGTTCGTCACTGTCTGCAGCTCGACTGCGCACGCGTGTGGGAGGCCGGCTCGCCCTGTCCCGACAATCCTGCGCAAGTGTCTCGGGTAGGGGGGGGAAACGAGACGACCAGCCCCGCGGAAACCTGAGGCCTGTTCCCCCGCAGAGGAATTCCAGGCAGCGGCAGCGGCAGCGGCGAGCGTCCGTCGGTGAGTCGGGAGCTGTCTGGTGTAGCCCAACTAGATAAGGAACTTCCTGCTCCTTCCTGGTGCCAGCCCTCCTTGATCTAATTTGTCGCGGCAGGGGCGTGGTTGCTCGTGAACTTGCTGCCGCCGCCGTTCGCGTCTTGCTCTGCAAAACCCCGAGGACCGCCACGCTCCAGCGCAGCTATGAATCTGGAGCGCGTGTCCAATGAGGAGAAGCTGAACCTGTGCCGGAAGTACTACCTTGGTAAGGCCGATCCCCCCCTAGGGTGTCAGGCCGGTGGAGGGCCGCTGGGCTAGAGCGCCCGAGGCGAGAGCACGCCTGGGGCCGCATCCGTGAGCCTAGGGATAACGTAGACACTGATCCGCGCGAAGAGAGGCCTCGGTCTGACCTCCAGTGATCAGCGAAGGAAGAACGAACGCCTAGGTCCTGAAAAGGAGGTAGCCAGGAATCCGATTCCTGGATCCGTAGATGAGAGCCAGGACCCCTCAGGCCCGGACATCTCCAGTTGAACTAGGGAGAGGACCGTCCAAATGAGCCTTCCAAGGTGGGGATTAGGAAAGGTCCCCATTGCCATTTGACTAAGTTTGGGTATTTTTTTTTTTTTTTTCCCCAAGGTGGATTTGCGTTCCTGCCTTTTCTTTGGTTGGTCAACATTTTCTGGTTCTTCAGAGAGGCCTTCCTCGCCCCAGCCTACACAGAGCAAAGCCAAATCAAAGGCTGTGAGTTCTAGGGCACCAGCCAAAAAAAAAAAAAAAAAAAAAAAAAAAGGCCAGCGGGTGGTTGGAAGGGATTGATGGAGGCTCCAGGACTCTGGGAGATCCGTGGCGAAGATAAAGGGGGTGGCCCGGGGGGAGGCCAACTCTCCCCATTCTCGTTCTTCATTATAGATGTGTGGCGCTCAGCAGTGGGCTTCCTCTTCTGGGTGATTGTTCTCACCACCTGGATCACCATCTTCCAGATCTACCGGCCCCGCTGGGGTGCTCTTGGGGACTACCTCTCCTTCACGATCCCTCTGGGCACTCCCTAGCTGCACAAGCTGGTGGTCTGTCCTTTCTCCCAAGATGTGCTTCTCCGCTCTAAGCTTTTCCTCAGATCCCGAAGACTGTTTCCCATTTCCCATCTGCCCCAATAAAGGACCCTAACTTTAAATATTGAGTTCTTGGGATCTTTTGGAGGTAGAAGCATAAAATGATCACCAGCAGTCAAATGCACTTATGGAATGTGTTGTGTGTTAGGGTTAGCGCCTCACCCCTTGTATGAAGTTTTATTTCATTGACTTGTATTTTTTTGAAGTAAGAACTATCCTGCGTAGGGACCCTGTCTTCCAGATGGGAAAAAAAGGGATGATGCTCCCAGCGACTTTAAAAATACGCTTTTCTTAACTGGAGGTGTGTGGCTTCCTGGCCGTGCACTTCACTAACCTTAGAAAGGTGCTATGTTGGAGATACTCGCTTTCTTGTTCTAGGTCTTAGTAGTCTCTGCTGCGGAAGACTTCATTTGAGCCAAGACATTCTCACTCTGAAGGAGGTGTTTTCTGCAAGAGAAATATCCAAGAGCGTTCTTAGGAAAGTGCCCTTGACTTTCCTGTTTTTAGTCTTGGTTTGTTTATTTCTGTGGTGTGTGTGTGTGTGTGTGTGTGTGTGTGTGTGTGTGTGTGAGCGCTCGGGCATTCGCGCATATTTTAATGCAGGTGCCCATGGAGACTTCTGGCATTTCTCCCCCTGGAACTGCAGTTCCAGATGTTTGTGAGTCCCCTTAACCACTGAGCCATCTCACCTTCGTCTTGATCGTCCTGTTTAAAGAGTCATGATTCTGGTAGCTGCCTTCAGTAACCCCAACACTTGGGAAGCAGAGGCAGGTAAATTTCTGTGAGTCCCAGGCCAGCCAGGGCCTGTTTCAAAACAGTAAAATACAGTCTCAGCAGAGGGTCTGGTGCAATGAATCAGTGGGTAGGGGCACTTGCTGCCAATCCTGATCTGGGTTTGATCCCCGAATCCCATTAGTGGTCGTCTAACCTCTACAGGTGTGCCCCATCAATAAATAACACCCAGCAGCAAGTTGTGGTAGTGGTGCTGTTGATCACATATTTGGGAGGCTGAGGCAGGAGGACTTCAGAGAGGTCAGAGCCAGCTTGGGTCACATACATAGTTTCAGGCTAGGCTGAGCCAGAGTGAAGCAATAAATACACAAATAATGATATAATAATATCTCAGTGTCCCAACTGGGCATATGCCTATAATCCCAACATTCAGCCAGTCTGGTCTACAACCCTAGTCCAGAACATCCAAGCTGATGGATCTCTGAGCTCGAGGCCAGTCTGGTCTACAAGCCTAGTCCAGAACATCCAAGTTTACACAAACCCTGACCTTCCCCCCCCCCCCCCAACGCACACACCAAAAATCTCAGTCCTCACCTTGATGTTCCCTATGAGTATTTAAAGACATATTTTTGTTCCTATTACATTTCACTTAGAATTTCTGGCTTGTGTGTTGACTGTCTTCTATTCTCTATGAAATAAGCCACATCAGGGCAAAGATTTTTGTCTTGTTCATTGCAGTGTCCTCAGTATCTGAATGAATACCCAGCACTCTTAAAACTTAAATAAGTGAGCTTTTGCTCAAAAAGACAGCAGCAGGCAACCGACACCTAGCGAGCCCTCTGTGAGAAAGGAGCTAGTCCTTCTCCAGATGGGCCTTCTTCCTAGGGATCTCAGTGACTACGGAAGTAGGTATGTTGGGGGATATTAAAATATAACACTACAAATCCCAGGAAGCCTTGCAGCGCTGGAGCCTTCTGTTTCCCGTAGTGCCCTGCGCAGCGCAGGCGGGCTACCGTCTTGAGCCTTGGAAGTTTGTATTACCGCCCCGCCCCCTTCAGGTGCCTGGCTGGTCGTTGGTTTGTTTCCGGAAACAGGAAGGTGGAACTTAAGGCTGGAGCCAATAGTAGAGGCTGTCAATTGGCCAGCAAGTGAAATTGACGTTTTCACTATCTAGTGGGGAAGAGCGGCTGCCAAAGGGGCCCGCCTACAGAAGGGAAAGAGGGGAAGTGGCGGCCAAGGCTGTCGCGGCTGGACAGTGCTCAGGCCGGAGGACCAGTGGTGCCCAGACTTACCTTTGACCTTTTCCTTCCCGCCTTGGCTTGTGAACTCCGCCTCCTCTCAGTTTTTCTGATCCAGGAAATCAGACCTGGACCCAAATCATGTTCCCGGTAAAGGTAAAAGTGGAGAAATCAGGTGAGGACTGGGGATCCAGGACTCCGAGAGACAGGGCTGATCTTGAAAAAGCGGACTATGCTACCTCTCTTTGCAGCCCATCTGGCAGTCACACGGAGCGTGGCCACCTTCAAACCATCCGGGCTGTGTTCCAAGTGGCCTTGAGATTGAAGGGTGGTTGGTGGTTCTGGCCACGATGTGGTGGTGAAACGTCGGGGTCCGGAACCCCTGACTCTAAGAAGGGTCCTTTTCTCTTCCTACCTCAGTTTCCCCATTTCTGACAGTGGTCATGATGTGTGACCCTGAAGGACGGGGAATCAATCCTCAGTAACGGCTGTATTCCAGTAACCTCATGGTGTAGGGTGACAGATGAGAAAACCGAGGCTCAGGTAAAGGGCAATTTGGAGGGAGTCCAGAGCCCTGAAAAGGGTGATCAGTAGTAGATGATGGTGTGAGGTGCTAAGTGGGGTAAATGTCACATAGAACAAGGTAGGGGCTGAAGGTGCAGTGAGTCCAGTGGTAGATTGTCTGCCTAGCATGCATTTGCCTCCGGGATTCCAGCGCCAGGCCCGGGAAGGGTAGGGAGGCCCTGTAGTCACAGATGATAAGACAGGACAGTAACCGGATCCTGGGATTTCAGGGCCTTTCTGGGAAGCACCACGATGGGGAAAATATACAAGGAAATGGCAATGTGGGGAACAAAGGGAGCAGCAGGCAAGCGAGGGTGGCTGGCCAGTGAAGCAATGGAGGCGAAGAGACGATGGGAGGAGGGCGGGTCCTCTGTCTGTGGGTCCAGGAAGGGGCTTTTGACTTTTCCTTTGAGGGAAATGGGTAGTCTGGAGAGGCTTTGAACGAGGAGTGAGTTGGTAAAGATGCATCAAAAACAACAAACAAACAAACCAAAAACCATTCAGTCCAATAACAAAACTTTAGTGGCTAGTGGAAGGGGCTGTTGGTGCTGGCAATTTCTTTAATCCCCGTACACGCAAGACAGAGACAGACCCCAGAATTTAAGACCAGTTTGGGCTGTTTAGCAAATTCGAGGCCAGCCTAGGGCTATATTAAAAAAAAAAAAAAGGGGGGGGGGGGGGGGGGGGGGGAAGGGAGCCTCACAGCTATGCGAGTAGAACAAGGGTAGGCTTGGAAACACCAGGCTGAGTACAGACCCCATTTTGGGGGCCAGAATTGTGGACTCCTGGGGTGTTCTGTGCTGGGGAAGATCAAAACTAGGCTGGTTGACCGTTTTTGTTTTTGTTTTTTTTTCTTTTTTTGCTTGTTTATTGTTTGAGACAGGATCTCATATAGCTGACGCTGGCCTTGAACTCTTGATCCTCCTGCCTCAGGCTCCAGAGTGCTGAGATAACAGAAATGTGCCACTCTTCCCAGCTAGGCTTGGCTTTCTTTTTGGAAGGCTCTCTTGTCCACTTTGTGGAACCTGATCAGAAAAGGAGAACGAGGCTAGGAGCTGAGTGGGAGGAAAGGGCCAGGCGGGGAGGGAATACGGCGACAGACACTTGGGAAGCCAAGTAAAGGAGACCGGGACTGGAAGGGAGCATCCCTGGCGAGTCCGGGAGCCTGTGGGTGTGGGATGTGCACACAGCTGATTCCTACCTTCTGCCCTCAGAGATGGAGATGGCCAAAGCCCGGAACCAGCTGGATGCCGTTCTTCAGTGTCTGCTGGAGAAGAGTCACATGGACAGGTCGGGAGGGTCCAGCCTGGGGAACCACAAGGGTGGGAATTGTGTTTGGATGGCCGCTGATTGTTGGGGGACCTGGCTGGGAGGCTAGAAGCTAACCTAGGGAGAAAAGTGTTCCTTGGGAAGACTAAGTATCGAGACACTCCGGGCCCTCGGTGCCCTAAGCTAATTGCACTTTTTTTGCTCCCAGGGAACGCCTGGATGAGGAAGCTGGGAAAACCCCCTCGGATACACACAACAAGTAAGCGGTGTTGATGAGATTTAGACCTGAGAGCTTGGGGTGGGGATCTCCGTTCCCCTAAGTCCTAACCATGCTATCTGGGGAAAGATACCTGTGGCCTAAGCGGCTAACACCGTGGGAGTGTTGGGATATGAGGCTTGAGTGTCCTCCCGGGTGTCCATTTCTGCTTGTTTTCAGTGCGAAGGACTGAACCTCAGGGCCCATGCTAGGCAATGCTCTGTTACTTAGTAAAGGCTCAGCCTGCTGACACCTTGTCTCTCCCTGCAGGGACTGCGCCATTGCGGCCACTGGCAAAAGGTGAGGTGCCTGGGGTCCCAGCCCACTAACAAGGCTCTCAGTCCTTAACTCTGGGCTGACACTCACCTTCCCCACACAGGCCATCTGCCCGCTTCCCCCACCAGCGGAGGAAGAAGAGGCGGGAGATGGACGATGGGCTGGCTGAGGGGGGTCCTCAGAGATCCAGTGAGTAGGCCGGGGACTGAGAGGGCGGGTGGGCGTGGTACACAGGGGCTCACTTATCTCCCACCTCACCACCCCAGACACATATGTGATCAAGCTGTTCGACCGGAGTGTGGACTTGGCCCAGTTCAGCGAGAACACACCACTGTACCCCATCTGCCGTGCCTGGATGCGCAACAGCCCCACAGTGCGAGAGCGGGAGCGGTCCCCCAGCTCACCACTGCCCCCTCTGCCTGAGGATGAAGAGGTGGGATGAGTGTTGGGTCCCGACCCAGAGGCCAGAGAGCAGCTGGTGGATAGGCTCATAAACTCCCCGTTAGTGGTGACCTCCAGGTCCCCTTGATGAATATAGATAGGATCAGGTAGGACACAGCTGTGTGCCCTTAAGTGAGGAGGATGGTTAGAGGTCCCTAGGCTGGGTGGATCTGGCTTCCTCGGAAACAGGGGTTCTAACAAATAAAGGGCTGAACAGGCATCTTTAGTGCGAACAGATGTGGCTGGCTGCCAGATGGGGCCTTCCTGTGGGCTGGGTGGAGGGTAATAGGGGTTTGGAACTCAGCTGGCCTGAAAGGGTAGACAGCAGGGATCCCTGGGACAGACAAATGACTCGAGATTTCCGGGACTGTCAAGATAAGAATAGACATGACACCCCTGGACAATTCCTTAAGGCAGGCATCTTGCCCCCTTCCCCCTTGGGCTGACAGATATAGATGGAATTCCCTGGGCTTGGCAAGGGTAGACCAGGGTTCTCAGGCTGACGAGAAGACACAGCCCCTAGAACAGGAAGACATCCTCTAGCTGTCTAGGTATGTCCCTCTGCTCTGACTCCTCCAAGTACAGGTGTCCAGGTAGACCCCTCGTATCTGTCACTGGGAGAGGTGGGGGAAGACATGTACTTTCAACCCTCTGCTCTAACTCCCGGGCCTCATTTGGGGCTTTGTCTCCCCAGGGTTCAGAGGTCATCAATAGCAAAAGCCGCGATGTGTACAAGCTGCCTCCGCCCACAGCCCCTGGACCTCTTGGAGAGGGCTGCAGATCACGAATTCCGTCCCCACTGCAGCCTGAGACCCAGGGCACCCCTGAAGACGAGCCCTCTGAGCCCGAGCCTTCGCCCTCCACACTCATCTATCGGAACATGCAACGCTGGAAGCGCATTCGCCAGAGGTGGAAAGAGGCGTCTCATCGGAACCAGCTTCGCTACTCCGAGAGCATGAAGATCCTGCGGGAGATGTATGATCGGCAGTGATGGTCCCGGTCCCCTCCCCAATAAACCTGCCCCCAGCCACACTGCCAGCCCGTCCTTCCCGGCCCACACAGAAGGCAACTGACAAATCTCTAGCGCATTTATTGGGGACTGGTGGTAGGAAGGCCTGAGGTGACAGGGACAGTGTTGGGAATGAAGATGTGACTGAGATGTGGAGGTGGCTGTAGGGAGAGCTGGCTGCCAATGGGGAGCCGGGATAAAGGAGCTCAGGGGCTCTGGGGCATCGCCTAGCACGTCCGGGAAGTTGGGGTGTCTGTACAATTTGAGTTTGGGGGTCATGGTTGGTCAGGAATAGGTATCCCAAGGATTGGAAGTCAGAACAGGATTCAAGAATTTAGGTGCCCGGGGCAGAGGAGTGTCAGGTTATATATAGAACAGGATCTGGAATCCGGTAGACCAGGCGATGGTGTTCTGATGTGGAATGCCACTGCTGGCCCCCAGACTGGCTAGCCCAATAGTCACTGCGGTGAACTAGGTGACAGGCCTGGACTCGGAGCGCTTACCACGCTGCTCTGGTGACACACTGGGGTGTTCTAAAGTTAGAAGTACAGCAGGAAGCCTGAGTACACCCTACTGAGGGTGACAGTAGGGTTGTGCCATCGCCACACAGGAGTCATGGGCGGGGCCTGAGGGCTGTGGGCGGGGCTAAGCGGTGTCCGGGTTTCTAAGGCGCAGTAGGGTTTTGGGTGGAGAGGTCCCAGGGGAGGACATCTAGACTGGGTTGGGAGGACTGTCTTGACAGCGATCGGGACATCTGGCTGGGCGACGGAGTCAGATCGGCTTTTAAAAGGTAGCCTAAAGAGGCTTCCCAGGTTCGGCCTGTAACGCCCGGACCCCTACTTGGCAGCAGTCGGTGCCGGAAGCGGGGCCTGGGCCGAGGCTGGTGCGGCCTGGATGGACAGGACGCCCTCGGGAGACAGTGCGGAGGTCACCGCAGCAGGGTCCACGGCGGGAGGCAGGCGGTAGCGGCGGTGGAACTCTCGAGCAATGAATCCATGTTCATCCTGGGGCGGGGAGGGGAGAGGGGCTTGAGCATGCTCCCTGCCGGCCGCCCGCCCCCGCCGCCCCATCGGCCTGCACACCCACCGGGCGTTCCTCGTGCCTCGCGTGGACCTCCACATGGTCGCCGACCACCTTGACGGAGATTTCCTCCGGCGAGAAGTGTTTGACGTCCAGCAGCACGGAGAAATGCCCAGGGTCCGTGGGCACCTGCGCACCCCGGGTGGGCGTGGGGCTTCCGTCAGGAGGGGCTTCGCACCCACTACCCCAGGAGCTTACGGCGCTGCCGCCGAGGAACTCCACAACCTCGACCTCACACACAATAACTGGTCCCCTCCCTCCTCTTGTAGACACTGGGCCCACCGCTCCCAGACTTCCATATCCACAGGGTGAACAGGTTAAGGACCTGCCCTGAGCCCTCCACCCCGCAGCCGCCAGGTCTCCGCCATGCTAACAAACAAGGTGCCGCTTCCCCGTCTCCAGAGTTCACAGGTCACGCACGGGACCGCCCCTCTACCTTCACAGGTACCCTTCCCCCGCTCTAGAGGGCCCACGACCCCCTTCATCAAGCCACAGGACCCGTCTGGGAGACTTGGCAGCACCGTCCACAGCTAGAGCGGCATTCCAGCCCGTCAGGACTCGCTGTCCTTTCCCCCAGGTTCCCCCGTCAACGGTCTCCTTCAGCCATCAGACTCCGGGCGAGAGTGACCCCACGCCCCACCCATCAGGGACAGTAACCGACCTCGGGCCACACACTCAGGGCGCACCCAATGGCCCACTGAGGGGGACACATCGTCCCCTAAGCTCAACATCAACAGGCATCCGCCCGCCCCCGCCCCAGGGTGAACCAGAGCCCTAGTCTTGTTGTGGTTGGGTTGTCCCCCTCCCCTGGCCTGGCACCTGGGCTGTGGGCAGCGCCACACTGGGGGCACGCAGATAGTAGGGGGCGATCGCAGCGGGGCACAGTGACGCCAACTCCGCCTCAAGCAGCCCCTCGCCGAAACGCTGGTCAAAGAGACGTCCCGGAGTGGAAAAACCCGGTAAAGGCGCCGAAGCGCGGCGCAGCCAGGCAGGGTGCACGGGCACCGGGATCTCCATCCTGCTCCTCCGCTGCTACCCTGGGTCCCGCAGTGCCCAAGCGCACGCAGTCTCCGATTTATACTGCGCCCGGGGCCGCCCCCGCGGGCCTCTCAGGGACACTGGGATGGAGGCCAGGCTCGGCCATTAGTAAGCCTTATTTAGAAACTTCAATAATGACTTGGCCGGTCATTGAACGCCCGTTGGATGCCTGGGAAAGGACACCGGGGAACTGTCATCAGGCCCTTTTCCTTTTCCAGCAGGGGACACTAAGGTTTGGGAGGCAGACCCGTAGAGGCGTGGCGAATCGCTGTGGCAGTTGGGACCCTGGGCCCCGAGAAGTCCACCAAAGAGTGTCCAGTCCTCTTAATCCATCTCGGCCCGGCTGGCAGCTCTGAGGATGACGCACCAGTCTTGGTAAAAGATGCCTGGAGAATGCCGCCCCCACGCCAGGCTGTCAGGAGGACACAGACCAGACCCTGCCCCAGGGTAGGTCGGGCCTAATTCCGTGCCTCTGACTCAGCCTCGGGTGCTCGGCGGCCAGGGGGCGTGGGCCGGAACACTCCACGTTGGCCCGCGGGGACTGCGCGCCGGGGCCCGAAATAGCTCGTTTTGATCCCACTACCTGGGCCAGGAGCCCGGGCCTGGCAAGGAGTGCTATCAGCTGCTCAGCAGCAAGAGGAAAGGGGTTAAGGGGACCATCAGGATGGGTTTGCCGGCTCAACTGCTAGAGGAATGGCAGTCGGCGTGGACGCAGACGCCCGCGGGCAGCCCCGTAACCCCCGTGGTCGGGCTTGGAGCGGGGCCCTCAGCAGCTATTCTGGCGGTTAGAGAGGACTGAGGAAAAGCAGGGACTCCCAGCGCGCTTCCAAGCCTCAGCCCCGCCTCCGGTCCTTCCTATTGGTCCACGGTCTTGCCAATCATCGCTGCGCGTCCCCCCCCGTCCCCAATCAAACCCTCGCTCTCAGCCGCGTGGCCGCCAGCCGCGAGGGAACGCCCCTCGGCCGCTCTCCAGTCACTTTTCTAGTCTATCATTGGCCGCCCGCCCGGAAAGGGGCGGGGCTGGCAGCGTTGCCAAGGGAGGAGGGTCGGGACGCGGCTGGCCCCCCGAAGGAGCCCGGCTGGCACCCCCGCTGCGGCAGACGCCGGAAGGAGTGCAGGTGAGGTTGGTTCTTCTCTCGGAGACCACAGGAAGCCTAGGGAAGGCGGCACGGGTCGACCGGAGCCTGGGGTCCCCGGCCCAACCGCGCAGGAACTACAATTCCCAAGATACTACGCAGCTTGGGCGCTGCAGCGTCTCTGGGGTCTCAGGTCTTTTGCTCCCTCTGGGTGGGCCTAAGGGAGCCTAAAAGAAACTTGGAAATTGAGTCGTTAATTTCCAGACTGTCCCAGACACCCATGGATGTTGTCTCTGGAGTTTCTCACCCAGGAGGAGAGCGGTGAATCATGGGGATTGTAGTCCAGCTACTCGTTCTTCACTGGGGGCCGCCACCTTCCCCTCCCCTTAACAGGTTTAACCAGAAACGTACAATGTACGGTTTGGTCGTGACTGTTTTATTTTTGTCTATTTCTCTCCCTCTTTTTTTTTTTTTGTTTTTTTTTGTTTTGTTTTGTTTTCCCTTTTTCATTTGTATTTTTTTTTGTTTTCCCTTTTTCATTTGTGTTTTCATTTTTTTTTTAATTACTTTTTTTGTTGTTTTTTTTTTTTTCAGGTTTACTGTGTAGCCTTGACAGCCTTGGAACTCACTCTGTAGACGTGTGTAGACAAGGCTGGCCTTGAACTCCAGCTTTTGCCTCCTGAGTCTAGGATTAAAGGCATGCGCCACCATGCCTGGCTAAATTACTTGTTTTTCAGTCGTGGTCTTAGTTAGAGCTCCCTGAAATGGGCTTCGTGAAAAATGTTTAAAGAGATGGAAATTAAGTACCCTGATTTGAAATTAAGTACACACACACACACACACACACACACACGGGCATAGCACTCATACACATAAAATAAAAATCTTTTTTTTTTAATTGCCTGGATAGTGTGGAGAAGATGCAGCGTTTCACCCGTTTCCTTACATTCTGGTTCTGTTAGCCTGGAGTGAGAACCGTGAAGCTCTGACATGTCCTTGTTCTGAGACACGATCTCTCTTGTAGCCTGTGTGTGTGAGCGCACCTGTTTCTGTGTGTACGCGTGGGCGTGCCATGTGGAAGTCAGACAACCTCAGGCGCCCTTATCTCCCACCGCGCTGAGGCAGGGATCGCTTTGATGTTCTCCTTGGAGTGTTAGAGGCCAGCTGGCCTTCGTGCTCGGATTGCAGACCCCTGTGACCACATCTGGCTTTACACGGCTTCTGTGGATTTGAACTCAGGTCTTCATGTTTGTGTTCACTGAGCCATCTCTCCAGCCTCTGGTCTGGAACTTTTGATCCTCCTGCCTCAGCCTCTTGAGTGCTGGGATTACAGGTGAACATTACACCTGTGACATTGAGTCTGTAGTTTAAAAAGTCCTCTTTTAAAGCTTCCGTAATCCCAGTACTCAGGAGGTTGAGGCAGGAGGATTACCTCAAGAGCAAGGCTAGCCGTGGCTAGAGAGTGAGACCCTGTCTCAAAAATAATAATAAAAGTTCCTCCTAGGCTGGATCCAGAGTTGAGAACTACCAGTTTCCAGCTCCTCGCTTCTTCTAAGTCTCTTTTAAAAGCTCGTGGGAATCACGCCTCTACTAGCATTAGCTTGACTGTGAAGTGATGACTCATGGGAATTGTAGACCATTTCTTCCCTTACTCCATGGGAATTGTCGGCTTCTGTCTTCCTCTTACTGTGCTCTGCTTCTTTCATAGCCTGCCAGTCTTCACTCCCCAAGACAACCCCTTTGGAAATGTTCCCCAGGATGGACAACCCAGTTGGCCATCAAGAAGCTAGAACTGGAGCGACAAGGTGAGGGCACTCCAGGGAAAGTTCCTTGCCTCAGACTGATAGCAGTAAGTGGCCACTGGAGGGAAGGAAGGCATGTGATGAGAACTGGGCCGAGAGAGTAACAAACCCACACCCTGCTGCTGGTGGCTTTCCCCGATAGCCCCTGGACCCCCGACCACAGCCCCACTTAAGTAACTGGGGGATGTTTCCTGTTTTCAGCTGCTGAGATGTGTGTTCATTCCCTACAGGATCACCTTTCTGGCCTGACCGTTTCTTCTTGTGTTTTCTCCCAATTTAAATCCCGGGTTCGTTCAGGTCTCAAAGGCCACAAGCTCCCAAGGCCATGGCAGCTGGTTCCCCTGAGCTGTCTGAGGAGTCCTGGTCATCCAGCTCAGGGACCCAGTCCCCACTCAGTACCACTGGGGGACAAAATACCTCTCCACCACTCACCTTAATTGACAGCGGGGACTCAGTGGTGGCCAAGTGAGTACCAGAGCTTCTTGGGGGGGAAAGAGGAAGAAGGCATCCCATAATAACCATCAGAAACAGAGCTGTTTACACAGCATTCTTTTAGGACCAGGCGACTTCATGTGTGTGATAGAGGGCTGTGGCGCCTAGATTCTCCGTAATGCATGATCCTCGGTGGCCCCCTCACTCCATCTGCCTGTCATCCCCTGACACTTACAGGTACATAAACAGGTTCCGCCAAGCTCAGCCCACGAGCCGAGAGGAGCGCCAGTCCGCAGGCCCAACCCCAGCTGACTTTTGGTGGCTACAGACCAAGTCGGACTTCAGCAGTTACCTTGCAGCAGGTACCTGCAGTGTTTCCCCATCCAGGGCCTGCCGCTCTTCCTGTCCCTGTGACCCTGTGATTCAGCTAAGGTTTCCCAGCAGGACCCAGTGGACCTAAAGGAAGAGCTGCAGTGACAGGTCCGCCTCCCACTGGGATGTCCACTTCATCTCTGGCTTCAGCTCCTCTTGAGAAAGCAAAGCAGGTGACATTATTGTCTTGTCTTGTGTACAAACTGACAGTACCAGCCCTGGGACAGAATTAGAGACAATGATCGTCTTAAAGAATCATAAACAAAAAGATGTGGCTCCCTGAGGAAGCCCTGAACTTGATCCCCAGCACCACAGAAAGCAGGCATGCTGACACACAGCTGTCAAGTCAGGGGGTGAAGGCAGGAGGATCAGAAGTTGTGTGTGTGTGTGTGTGTGGGTGGGTGTGTTTGTGCGGTTTTTAAGATTTATTTATTCATCATACAGTGTTCTGCCTGCATGTAACACCTACAGGCCAGAAGAGGGCACCAGATCTCATTATAGATGCTTGTGAGCCATCATGTGGTTGCTGGGACTTTAACTCAGGACCTCTGGAAGAACAGCCTGTGCTCTTAGCCTCTGAGCCATCTCTCCAGCCCAGATCAGAAGTTTAAAGTCACCAGAGTTTGAGGCTGCTCTGGGCTATATGTCATCCCATCTCAAGAAAATAATACTAGAATAAGATTTAACAAGAGGATTTGCTGGTTAAGCGCAATGTTAAACTCTAAGAAAGTATATGTGCCTCTGTCTTCATTACGTTCATGTTGCCATGACCGAAACACCTGACAGTGTCAGGGTGTCTGTGCAGCGTGACAGGAGTGTGCTGTGGGAGGGGTCGTTGTGCCGTCAGACCAGGAAGAAGCGAGTGCAGGCTGGGACCAGGGGTAGATGTTTCTTCAAGAGCCTAGTGGCCTGCCTGGCCCCACCTCCGCCTTCAAAATAGTGGTGTGAAGTGTGCGCTGAGCATTCAGAACCTGAGCCAGATCCTCTGTGTTTGCATGTGTTGGGAGGAACCCAGCTCTCAGCTCTTTTTCTGTTTACTGGGCTCAGTCTTCGCATACTTTCTCCTTATAGTAACCAAGATGGCTGCCAGCAGCTTTTGATGCCGTGTTACTCAGCTATTACAGTGGAAAGTAGGACTGGGGATTGGACTGACTTCCTTCCTCTCTTTCTCTCTCCTTTTTTGTTTTAACTAAGTTGTTTTATTTTATGTGTATGGACGTTCTGCCTGCATGTTTGTTCGTGCAATGCTTGTGTGCCTGGTGCTCATGGAGGTCAGAAAAAGGTGAGAGATCCCTGCAACTGAGTTACAGACATTTGTCAGCCGCCATGTGGATGCCTGGAGTTGATTATAGATCCTTTGGAAGAGCTGGTTATCCTCATGGCTGAGCCATCTCTGTAGCCCCAATCTCAGTCACTCTCGAGTCAGTCACTGAACTATTTGATAGAATGTTTGGATTAACCTGGTCTGGTCAAGAAGACAGGTTCAACCTTTTCCTTTTAAAATTTAAATCTGGTGTGTGTCTGGTTGTGTGTGTGCCCCCCCCCCCCCCCCGTCTGTGTGTGTGTGTGTGGGTCAGAGGACAGCTTTCAGGAGTTGCTTCTCTTCTTTTATCCCTGTGTAGATTCTAGGGATCAAACTCAGGTCATAGACCTGTACAGAGCGCGCTTTACCCACAAAGCCATCAATACTGGGGTAGCTGAGGTAGCAGAATGGAGAGTTCAAGGCCAGCCTGGGTTCCAAAGTAAGGTCCTGTCTCAAAAGCCAAAGCAGGAAAGAGAGCCTGTCTTCCCCAGTGGAGGAGCAGACTGTAGCCTTCCCTGCCGCAGGAAAGCCGCAGGTGGAATATGGGTCCCTAGGCCTTGTGCAGACAGCCCCTGGCTTCGCAGCCTTTGGCACAGACTAGCTTCTGGTCCCTTCACTGCAGAGCCTGAACTCGTGGAACTCGTCTTTGCTGGACCTGGAGACACTGAGCCTACAGAGCAGAGCGACCAAGCTGCTCAAGCGCAGGTGATAGTCCTCGTGTGTCCTCCCCCCGCCCCCACATGGCCCTCACTGCTTGCCTCACTGGTCCATTCTCCCCACAGCAAGGCCTCCCTCTCCTCCTCCTCCCTCAGTCCCAGCGATGCTAGCAGCTTCTTCCCTGTCAACTCTGATGGCCTCTCTCCCTGCTCTGCGACCTTCAATCCGGACTCCATCAAGGGTTCTAGTCCCAAAGAACCTGTCCCGGGAGGTAAGGCAGGCGTAGTGGTAGCCAGGTTCAAATCCCATCTTGTCTACTTACTAGCCGTGTGACTTCCATGTTTCTCTAACTGAGAACCAGGAACGATAATGGGAGCCCTCGCTCACAGAGATTGTGAGGATGAAATGAGTCCGTGAGTACCTGGGAGGCCCTTCCTATATGTCTGTCAAAAGTAGCTGTCAGGGATGTGACAGGCCTACCATACTCCCTGCCATTATGAACATAAACAAAACCAAAAAGCTTAGCACAGATTAGAGGAAGTGGTCATGCTTTATTGGTTTTAGTTTTGTTTCTTTGGCCCAGGGTCTTGCTGTGCTGAAACTAATGTGTAGTTCATGCTGGCCGTGAATTCTCGGTAGCACTGCCGCGGCCTCCCCAGCACCGGGGTTCCAGGAGGGCACCGCTGTGCACATCACGGTTTGTTTGTATCAGTGAATCAGACGGAGCTTTTTTGTAGCTAAGTATATGGAAGTGTCACGAGGCTCTGCTAAATCTCAATGTGTTCCAGTCAAACCCACGTCTGTACTGCATGTAAACCCAGGTCTCTACCCGCGTCTCTACTGCATATAAACTGGTGGGGAATGCTGCAGCCCCAGCAGGAAGATCAGAGTCAGTCTCAGCTGCGTACAGGGTTTGAGGCCAGCATAGGCCGTGTAAGACCAGAGGCCAGGGGGAAACAGGCCTAAGACAGCATGCCTTTTTTGTGGGGTTGAGACAGGGTTTCTCTGTGTCACCCAGGCTGGCCTCGAACTCAGATCTGCCTGCCTCTGCCTCCCTGTGCTGGGATTATGGCAAGGACACACCTTTCATCTGAGCACTTGGAAGGTAGAGACAGTGGGCCTGTGAGTTGGAGGTCACCCTGGTACATAGTGAGTTCCAGAGATACGCAGAGAGACAAGGCAAGGGCCAGAGACAGAGCAGTGTGGCACAGGTGGGAGACGTTGGCAGTCCCTTGGGCCATGGCGGCCTGGTGAGGCCTGGCTGTCAGAAGACTTCAGAGCATGGCGGGTGCATTGTCTTCTGGATGTTAACGGCGTCCAGTGGCTGCTCTCAGCACCTGGACCAGAGCCAGACCAGCAGAGGGGAGAGAAGTGGCCAAAAGACTCATGGAAGGGAAATACAAGTAGAATCATAAACTGGGTATACTTGTTTGTAAGCGCAGGCTGGGTCAGGGGGATCGCCGGTTCAAATCCAGCTCAGGCTCCAAAGCAAAACCACAGGAGAGGGAAGCCCCAACGCTGAGTCCCACTTGAGAAAGGAGTCTGTGGTTTCCGCCCTCTGGCACAGGAGAAGAGTGGCTAGCAGACATCACCCCGAGCTCTCTCCTCAGCCCTTTCCACTTCCTCCGCAGCAGCCCCAGCACCATCCCAGGCCACCATCCCTGCTCCCCACCCAGCCTCCTCCCAGGCAACCCTAAAGCCTGAGGAAGACATTCTGTATCAATGGCGGCAGCGGCGGAAGCTGGAGCAGGCTCAGAAGTTGGAGCAGGCTCAGAAGCTGGAGCAAGCTCGAGGAGGCGAGGGTGATGGGACCTGGGTGTTGCCTAGGACCCCAGCCATCAGCACTCAGGTAAGTTGGAGGAGAGAGCCTGACAGTGATAAGGGACACCGGAAGGTGACAGAGGACCTTTCCCCTCTTCCTTCCTGTCTCAGATACCTCTTTCTGTCTACAGACTCTTCCTGTCCCTGTCATGAATCCAGGTTCCCAGGGGACCCAGCCTAACAGTGCTTCACTATGGAGCAGTATGGCCCAGCCTCCTGCCCCAGCGGCCTTCTGTGTGGAGAGGCCTTCCCCTCTTTCTGCGCCCTCTCCACACATCTGGGCCCCCAGGCCCCCAGGGTTTCTCTGGGCCCCACAAGCCAATCCCTGGGTCCCGCTCGGGATGGTTCCTACCCCAATATTAGCCTCCCCCCTTGCTCCCCTGGCCTCCTTCCCAGCACCACCGACCTCCATTCCAACTGCCCCAGCCCCGACACCTGCTCCGCAGGTCTCCGCTCCAGAGCCTCCAGCCCCCACACCACCTCCCTGGGCTTCCACCCCCGCTGCCCCAGCTTCCTCCCTTCCACTACCTGACACCCCTAAGGGGCCAACCACCCCTGAGCTGAATAGCCCTGCCCAGCCCAATAAGCCGCGCCCCAAGCCACGGAGGGCCAGCGCTTCTTCGCCTCCCCGGGAGACCACTGGGCCAGACACTGCAGCTTTGGAGGCTCAGAGTTCCCAGCTCAGGGGCGCCCTGGGCCAGGTAGTGACAGCTAGACTGTTCCCCGACAGCTTGGAGGACACGCCTCCTCGCCTTGAGAGCCCGCCTCCACATGAGGCAGGATCTCCCAAAGTCCAGGCCACACTTCCACAAGCCCAAGTTCCACCCCCTCCATCTCAGCGTGAGTGCAAGACAGAGTCCCACACAGCCCTGGCCGCGTCCTCCCCGGACAGATCCGTGCTTTGGAGAAGTCAAGCCACCCTTTCAGCTGGGGATCCACAGCCGGCTACAACCCCAAAGGCATCCACACTGTCAGAGGTCCAGTCACCCGATTTCAAGACCTTTGTGCCCGAAGTGGGAGCCGGTGACTCGGGGCCCTTGGCCACACCAGCCTCAGGCCACACCACCTCTGAGGACTTGCTCTCCCAGGCCGCCCGACTTCTGCAGGCTGCAGAAGGTAAGGGGGATTCCGGGTCACTCGAGAATGGTGGTAGTCCCAAACTTTGTCCGCCTTCTGGAGCTTGGCCTTTTACTCCCCAGACTCCGACAGCAGCGAGTTTCAGGAAGACCCTGTGTTGCGGGTTCTAAGAGCTCAGAGGGCAGAGCTCCGGAAGCAGAAAAGGTGACAGCTCTCCATCACCAGGATCTACCATACTGGGCCCCTGGGTCCTATGACACCCCTGATGGGTGCCTGACTCTTCCAAGCCCCTTTCCAGAACCGCATCCATAGCCCCAGAGTTTCCTTTTGTTTTTCCCTGAGACAGGGTTTCTCTGTGTAGCCTTGGCTGTCCTGGACTCGATTTGTAGACCAGGCTGGCCTGGAGCTCACAGAGATCCCCCTGCCTCTGCCCCAGCTTCTTAATGGGAGCACATACTCCAGCCTCCACCTCTCCGGCTTTTCTCTAGGAAAGTGGAGGCCCAGTTATCCCTCCTCTTGGACCACACTGAAGACCCAGCATCTTCCTCTTCCCCAGCCACGTCACCTTCCAGGTCCCCGAGAATGCGGTTGAGGAGGGAAGGAGCCTCCCTTGAGGCCAGACGACTTTGAACTGTAAAAGTTCTGTTCTTTCTTCACTGGGGAGATGGCTCAGTGGGCAAAGCACTTGCAAGTGTGAAGACCCGAGTTCAGATCCCAGAACCCTCATAAAGGTAGCTGGCAGGCCAGCTGGCCTGTGGAGACTGGGTCTCAAACAGGGAAGGAGGCAAGGACCAGTATCTGAAGTCCTGAGCTCCAAACATGAGTTCTGGGTCACACACATCTCCAATTAACATTTTTCCAGTTTACTATTAATCTTTAGAAAAGGATTGTTGTAAAAAGGCTGATTGTCCTAATATGGACGTGTAACCCTTCCCTGACAACTGAAACAATTTCTTTTCCGAGTTTGTGTGTGTGTTTTAAGTAAGCCCATAGGTCTAGGTAACATGGGACCCGACTCATGTAACTCAGAAGCGCCGTTTGATGTCTCAGATGGAGACAAAGGCGCTGTCACGGGCTTCGGCAGCCGTGTTGGACAACAGTGCATCTCCCTTTGTGCCAGCATCTCTCCTTCTGGCCGCCATCTGCGCCCACAGGTCTAAGAGATGTCTTGATTCCCCACAGGTTACTTTAGTGGAGCTTCCCCAGGTTCATTCCCCCCTCTTCCCTTTCTTCAGCCACGTTCTCCCTGCTCAGGGCCAAAGCCTTCTGACTCCCCTCCCTTCTCACACATGGTCACTTGGCAGACCCGACTCCCTTCCCCTCCCCTCTCCCCAGTCCGGGCTACCTCCTCCCGGTACCTCTGAGAGTTTGCCATTACTACAAGCACATCTGTTCACTCTTCAACGCCCTGGCCACCCAGGGAGACAGCCTGTCTCTTCTCTTTGATACTGACTCCTTCAACACATTGAATACAACTGAAGACATGCAGCCTCAGTTAGAAAAGTGCTGTCCTTTCGTTTTCTTTCTTCCTTTCTGCTTTCTCAGAGGTGCTTTATGCTATGAAATCCGATTGCTGGACATGGTGGCAAGCATCTGTGATCCCACGAGTCTGAGGCAGGAGGATCTTGACTTTGAGGTCATAGTGAGAGCCTGTGTCGAAAACAAAATGTTGGTCGGTATGCCGGGGGTGGCACACAGGGGTGCACCTGCTGAGCTCAGTGAGGTTGTGAGTTTTGTTGTATGTGGTTGTTTTACCTTTCTATTGCTGCCATCGGACACCATGATCAAGGCAACTTACAAAAGAAAATATTTATTTTGGGCTTACAGTTTCAGAGAGTTGGAGTCCCTGACTGTCATGGTGGGGAGCACAGAGGCAGGCAGGCAGGCCTGGCGCTGGGGCAGTGCTGAGAGGTCACACCACCACAAGGTAGAGACAGGCGCTGGAAATGGGAGTCCTTTGAAACCTCAAAGCCTACTCCCAGTCACACCTCCTCCAACAAGATCGCACCCAATTGTTCCCAAGTAGTTCCAACAACTAGAGACCAAGTGTTCAAACATCCGAGCTATGGAGGGCATTCTGTCACTGCAGCGGTGGTTTACCTCAGAAGAAAAACTCACTGATTTCTAGTTAAGGAGGTTTGCTAGCTGGGCACGGTCACACGCCTGTAATCCCAGCAGAGGCGGGTGGTTTCAAAAACAACCTGATCACAATCAAGAAATGCAGGCCAGCCAAGGGTGCACAGTGAAACACCCTCTCAAAACAAAACAAACCAAAAGTGTGTGTTGAAATATTTAAATACAAATACTGATTTTTTTTTTTTCTCCTCTTGGAGTCAGGGATTCTCTTGGCTGCCCTGGTGTAGCTTTGTAGACCAGGCTGGCCTTGAATTCACAGAGCAGGTAGAGCCTCTGCTTCCTGAGTGCTGGGTTTAAGGATTCAGGGTTGGTTTCCATATGTGTATTTATGAAGAGTAATGGGGTGGGTTTCTATGAGGAAGTTGTCTATGTCAGAAACAAGGTAAATTGTGTTTTCAGCCTTTTAAAGTCGCTGTTTAGACACAAGGAACAATGAAAGCTGTTTATAATAACATCCTGATCAAGGTGAGAAGGAGGACTAGGAGGCTGTGTGAGACTTTAGCTCAGACACGTGGGGATTATCCGCTTGACAGGAGGGCTGGGTAACGAGCTGCCCCCAAAGCTGAGTAGCAGCAAACACTCATCATGCTGTGGATTCTCTAAGTCAGCATACAGGGCACAGTCGCTTCTACTCAGTGATGTCTGGGGAGATTGAAGGATTAATTGGCAGCTTTGTAGAATCCTCTGGAAGTTACTCACTTGCAGTCCAGCATCAGGGCTGAGAAAATGGAAAAAAACAAGCTCAGGGCTGTCAAATGTTAGGTCTGAAAGCTTTCAGTCCAGCGGTTTTTCTAGATGAGGCCTCTCAGTTGTAAGTTCTAGGGGACAGAAAGGAACCGGTGCTGCCATTTACCACATAGCCTTGGAAATCACAAAGTGCCATTTCCATTTCTCCCTGTTGGCTGTAGCTGTCAGTTCTGTAAACTGACAAGAGTCAGACATGAGTGGAGTGTCAGAGAATGCTAACGGAAGAGGGCATATATAAGGCAGAGGAGCGTGGAGTGGGGAATCACTGTAATAGGACTGAGGCTAACAAATTCAATCAAAAAACTAACGGGCTGTGGGATGGCTCAGTAGTAGAGCGCATGCCTATCATGCGAAAGGCCCTGGATCCCATCCCCTAGCACTGGAAAAGTAAATATATGTAACTAACAGAGCCAGGGGTCGGTGGCACACACCTTTAGACCCAGCACTTCGGGGACAGAGGCAGGTGTATCTCTGTGAGTTCAAGGCCAGCCTGATCTACTTAGTGAGTTTCAGAACAGCCAAGGCTACCCAGAGAAACCCTGTCTTGAAAAAAGCAAAACAGAAAGTAACGGGCTGGAGAACTGGCTCGGTGGTTAAGAGCCCCGGCCTCTCTTCCAGAAGACCCTTGTTCGATTCCCAGCACCCACAAGCCAGCTCCTAACTGTAACTCCAGTCCCAGGGTACCTGACACCCTCACGTAGGCATACATGCAGGCAAAACACCAATGCACATAAAAAAAAAAAAAGTAACTAATGGATTCCCTGCCCCTAAGTCCATCGTTCCTTTCCCGTATTTCACAACCCCAGACTAGCTTTTCTCCGGCGCACTGGATATTTATATTTGGCTTATTCATTTTCTTCCATCAGCTTGTTGATTTGGTGGTTTTAAATTTTTTACTTATTTAATGCACACAGGTGTTTTGCCTGCACGTATGTTGGTGTTCCATGTGTGTGCCTGATGTCCACACAAGTCAGAAGAGAGTGTCAGATCACTTGGAACTGGAGTTAGTGAACAGTCCTGTGGGTGCTGGCAGTTGGGGATGGAAACTGGAGTCCTCTGGAAGAGCAGTCAGTGCCCCTAACTGCTGAGCCATCTCTCCAGCCCCTAATTCTGTGTGTCTGAGACATTTTCACTACCCAGCTCAAGGTGGCCTCACATTCCCGGTTAATAGTCTTGCTCAGCTCTAAGATTATACGTAGGTTTCTTTCTCTTTCTTCTCTACCATCTCCTTCCTCCCTTCCCTCTTTGATATTCTGAGACAGTCTTCCTATTCCAATGGCCTCAAATTCACGGTCCTCCCTGCACCCACTTTCCCAGTGCTGAGATTACAAGCCGGAACCACTGTACCCAGTTCATATTAGCCTTTTAGCGTGGGAAGACTGTATCTTTTTTTTTTTTTTTTCTTGTTTGGATTATTGGTGTCTCCCTGAATTAAATGATCACAGCCTTTAAACACCTGGACCAGGGGCGTGCTCCCGAGAGCAGGGTCCTGTTCAGGGTCCAGAGCAGTGAAAGCATCCTTCCGGAAAGGGTGTGGCTGCAATGCTTTCTGGGCACTGCTCTATCGTTTGTTTGCAAAAAGAAAAGAAAGACTGTACCTCGCTTTCCGAGAAAATGTTCTAGCATTCCTTATGGAAGCTTCTGCCAGACAAAAAAGTCGAAGGCCTGAAATAAGCGAATATGGGGAAACAGGGAAAATGTCCAGTGGATGGGGTGAGGCCAAGTGGCCCAGAGCCTAGGGTGGGAACCCAAGCAGGGTGTGTTAGATCAAAAAAAAGCCTGTGGGTGGGGCCGGGACCAGGACTGACAGCCTTGGGGACTGCAGGGACCGCGCTTCGACAAGGCCGCTTGAGGGATGGCCGCAGGCGAAGGCCACGGAGCACGTCCGAGGAGCGACCGCGAAGCGCGGACTAGGGAAAAAGGCCGACGGCTCCGGGGGAGAGGCGGCGGCGGCGGCCGCGGAGCATAAAGGCTACCGCGCTGTGTCTCCGGAGGGCGCTGACGGCCAATGCCCAGCCGCGTGGGCGTGGCGCTGTCAAACTTCGGGGGGCGGGGCTGGAGGGGCAGGACCCGGAGGCAGAGCCGCACTCCCAGCCAATAGGCAGCCGCCTTGTGGGCGGGGCGTGCCGCTCGGGCCAAATCGGAGCCAATGAGGAGGGCCTCCGCCGGCCCGCCGGCCCGCCCCTCGTAGGGAGCGCGCCAGAGCCCCCCGGTAGCCGTTAGGGGCGGGGCCTGCGGCCGCCCGCGCGCGCCTCACGCCCTCCCCTTTGTGTCACCATGGCGGCGGCGGTGGCGGCGAGGACTACGGACGAGGGCTCGAGAGCCGCCGGGGTCTGAGGAGGCTACCGCGACCATGGTGGTGAGGGGCCCTCGGGGCCATCAGTCTGTCTGTCCGCGTGCCAGTCTGTCCGCGCGGCCCCGCCCTGCGCGCCCCGCCCCCGGCCCCGCCCGAGCCCGCGGCCTGCGCGCCGCCCCTCACCCTCCGTCGCGGTCCCCTCCGGTCTCCACCTCGGTCCGGTCCTGGGTGGCAGCCGGGGCCTCGACCCCGCCCCCTCAGCGTGCATCCTTTCCCCCCTCCCCCCTCCCGCCACCTCCGGGCCCTGGAAAAGGGGTGACAGTGGCGGAGGACCCGGCCTTGAGAGGAGGGGGCTGGTTCAGGGGAGGACCCGCGCCCCACGAGGGCACCCCACCCCTGCCGGCCGGCGTCTGCCGAGGCTCCCTGGAAACCAGCCCCCATTTCAGCGCCCTCCTCAGCATCTCAGCCACCCCACCCCCCCGTCACCCTCCCGACCACCACCTCCTGCTCCCAACAGCCCCTTTCTCATCCCCGAGCCCCACCCCCATCCCACTCCATCCCTTGCCTGACCCTTTTCTTCTCCTTCATTTTCAGCCCACGCCACCCGCTCTCAATCCTCCCACCCACATCGATCAGAACCTTTATCTCAGCCTCTCCCGCCTTCCCCCATCCTCACCCTACCCCAGAGGCCAGCATCGCGCCTCCATTCCTCCCGAGCCTTGGGGCTTCTCCATCTCCTTGTCTTCATCTCCCCTCCTCCACGTCTTCCTCTCCCACCATACTGCTCCCGCTCATTCATCCATTCATTCCCACAGACATTCACTGAGACCTCCTCTGTGCAGGCCCCATGCTCCAGGCACAGAAACAGTCAGACCCCATCCTGCCTTGGGGAGCTTCATGGGCTGGCAGGGGACAGACTCTGAGGGTGAGACCCAGGGATGAACTCGGGGTTGCAGGGACACGGAGGAGGGGAAAGCCCAGTCCAGCAAATCCCTGAATCCCCATCTGGCAGCTGGTTAATTTATCTATCAGAGCTGCCCAGTCTATGCTATGCAAAAGGATTGGCACTGCATGTCATGGACCCAGAGAGCAATCTTCCACTCGGTACCAACTCTGCCCAAGTCTGCTGGGCATGCTGGGGGGGGAGGTCTCAGCCTGGGACCCTACTTCAGGGGAGGTTGGAGTCCAATGGGAGAGGCGAGTTGCTCACCAAGAGGCCTCTCAGAGTGAGGCAGAAGGCTGTGTAGCCTGGGAAGGAGGAAGCCCAGGGGATCGAGACAAATGTCTGCAACTGCCTGAGTGGACAGAGAAGGCTTTCTGGAGGAGCACACACGAGGCCAGCGCTGGAGATGAGGAGGAAAGAACCCAGTGACAGGGTGGGGGGAGCACGCTCGAGGCAAAGGCTCAGAAGGGAAAGCCAGGTGACACTTGTCTTCTGAAAAGTTCTGAGCTCTGCGAATGGGGGCACCAGGGGAGAGACAGGTCTGGAGGGGCAAATGGAAGCCACCTCAAGGAAGCTTGGTGCTCCGACCTGGGAATTCTGACCTCTTCTGGGCTGCATGGGAGTCACTGAAGCAGGATCTACGGAGAAGCACTTTCATTCTTTGTGAAAACCGTCCTGGCAGGAGGGGAGAGGTCAGGAACAGGAGACCGAGGTGTGGCCTGGGAGGTCTAGTCAGCGGCAGCTGACGGCACTGCGCTTGCTATAGCAGGATCTTAAACATGCACAGACAGGGCCAGCATGCTCCCGTTCCTGTGGCCTCCTCATCCTTGGTCCCGCACCTCCAGTCCCTTACCCCAGACCACACAGGAAGAAGCAGGCTGGTCCACAGCCCAGCACTCCCGTCCTGTTGACCTACCCTTTTACCCCACGCAGCAGGACAGTGTGTAGAGCCTCCAGGCTCCAGGCCCGAGCTGGCAGATAACAATGCTCTCGTTGTCCCTGCTCCATCTCTGGGGGCCTCTTGATTCTTGTCTCTGCTCCACAGGCCCGCAGCACTGACAGTCTGGATGGCCCAGGAGAGGGCTCAGTGCAGCCCGTCCCCCCTCCTGGAGGGCCTGGTGCAAAGGGAAAGTCTGGGAAGAGGTGAGAGGATGCCAGGGGCTTAGCTTAGGAGGGAGGAAGCTCCAGGAGAGAGCTGTGGCAACCCTTTGCCTGTCTTGCAGGCTCTCAGCTCCTCGAGGCCCCTTCCCCCGGCTGGCTGACTGTGCCCATTTCCACTATGAGAATGTTGACTTTGGCCACATTCAGGTATGGAAACATCTGTCTAGGTGTGTGTGTGGGGGGGGGGGGGTGAATGGCTAGCAGCCACTGTGCCCTGAAGCTCATCCCTGAGCTCTGGCCACCTGCACATTTGAGCAGACACTAGCAGGAATCCATCCGAGGCCCAAGCAGACTGGGAGGGCTGGTCTCTCATTCATCATTTATTCTACTGTTTATTCTTCCACAGAAGGTGTGTTAGGCATCTGCTCTGTGACAGGACAGATGCTGTCTGTACCCAGACAGTGACACCACCAGGCTCTGTCCTTCTGGAGGTCCAAGAGGGGAACACAGATAGTCCTAGCCAAGAAAAGTTAGGTCTGGGACAAAACTAAAGGCCTCCCTTTGGTTTGTGCTTCCCGTGCAGCTCCTGCTGTCTCCAGAGCGCGAAGGCCCCAGCCTCTCTGGAGAAAATGAGCTGGTGTTTGGGGTGCAGGTGACTTGTCAGGTGAGGCTGCCCCCGCCTCTCATCCACTAGCTACTGTAGCCCTCATCTCTGAATGATGGGCTCTGTTCCCTCTGTCCTGCTTGCCCCCACAGGGCCGCTCCTGGCCAGTTCTGCGAAGCTACGATGATTTCCGCTCCCTGGATGCCCACCTCCACCGGTGTATATTTGACCGGAGATTTTCCTGCCTCCCCGAGCTCCCTCCACCCCCAGAGGGCGCCAGGGCTGCCCAGGTAACCTGCTTGCCTCAAGGTATATCATCAGCCAGTGTGCAGCCAGCAAGGCAGGAAAATAGGCAGGAGCCACCTCTCTAGTCCGGGCGGCATGCCGGGATAAGCCTGTAATCTCAGCACGTGGAAGGCTGCAGTCGGAGTTCCAAGCCAGAGTGTCAGACAGCCTTAAAAATATAACAGGATGTTAGAGGGTCCCTTCAGTTGGGGATCATGGGAAAGTCCAAGGGGGTCCACAGGTCAGCCCAGACGCATGAGTTTCACTCTAGAGCTCAGCTCAGCATGATTAACATTTCAGAGCTTAGGAGCTGAGCCATGCCCAGGCATCCAGGTTGAACCTCAGCCTTGCTGAGCCATGAGCTTGGCACTGTGGGAGGGCGGGGGAGGCTCTGTCTTTATCCGTTCACGGGAGCTCTCCTTGGCAATTTGCTCCCAGGTGCTGGTGCCACTGCTCCTGCAGTACCTGGAGACCCTGTCAGCGCTGGTGGATAGTAACCTCAACTGCGGGCCTGTGCTCACGTGGATGGAGGTGGGTGTGATTCGGGGAGCTGGGAGCTAGGGTCTGGTGAGGTGTCTGAGGCCCGAGAAGCAGCCTAGGAGTGTGTGGGCACAGAAAAGAAGGAAGGCATGGGGAGGAGGCATTGGTATTTTGGCGTCTGTGTGGGTGCATGCCTGCAAGGGAAAGGTACGTGGGTGCTTGTGTAGCTGTGTGGCTATAGAGGTTTATAGGTAATAGAAATGTGTCGCTTGTAATTGACAGCGCATCTGGCTGACAGTGGCTTAAACTCAATGAATTTGGGGTAAAATTCATGTGTATCTTCTGCTAAGAAGGATCAAAGTGTAGGTGTCTTTGGGGATGGGGGACAGGAGAATCTTGGGACAAGCCAGGGGTGGGGAAGAGCAGGAGGAGGAGGAGGAGGAGGAGGAGGAAGAGACATCTTTTTTTCTTGCTGTCGCTGTTACTTCGTTGGCGTCACACTTTTTTATTTTGTGTGTATGCGTGTTTTGTCTGTGCATCCACATACATGCCTGCAGCGGCTGGATGAGAGCATCAGATCCCCTGAAACTAGACTTTCAGATAGTGGGAGATGCATGTGGGTGCTGGGACAGAATCTTCTAGCAAGTGCTCTTAACTACTAAGCCATCTCTCCAGCCTTTTCAAAAGAGGAAATAAGAATCTAATGTTTGGACACTAGTTTGGGGTGACAGAGGCTCTTAGGGACAGGTGGTGGCCTCTCCGGACAGGAGACTGATCTGACTTTGCTAGTCCCTTCTGACCTCCCCTTTACCTCCGTCTCAGCTGGACAACCACGGCCGGCGCCTGCTCCTCAGCGAGGAAGCCTCCCTCAACGTCCCCGCCGTGGCTGCTGCCCACGTGGTCAAGCGGTACACTGCCCAGGCGCCAGATGAGCTGTCCTTTGAGGTGAGGCTTGGCAGGCGTGGACCCTCCCCGAGGTCCCCGCTTCTCCTGCCTCCGCTGAAGCCCCTCCCCCCACTCCCAGGTGGGAGACATCGTCTCAGTGATCGACATGCCGCCCACAGAGGATCGGAGCTGGTGGCGGGGCAAGCGGGGCTTCCAGGTGAGCCGGGTTTGGTGAGCCCGCGAGGTAGGGCCCTATGCCCACCATGGCACTCTGCCCAGCTACTCACTGGGGTCCTTCTTCAGGTTGGTTTCTTCCCCAGCGAGTGTGTGGAACTCTTCACAGAGAGGCCAGGGCCCGGCCTGAAGGCGGGTAAGTCTCAGGGAGGCTGGGCGCCCCTCTCACCCTCTGCCTACCACCTGCTCCCTCTGCCATTGTGCACCCACAGATGCTGACAGTCCCCTGTGCGGCGTCCCAGCTCCCCAGGGCATTTCTTCTCTGACCTCAGGTAACGGAAACAAGGGATCAGGTCTCTGCCCTGCCCCCGGGCCCTGGCACCCCTGTGTCTGAGTGGTCTGCCTTTGCCCCCGCAGCGGTGCCCCGGCCGCGGGGGAAGCTGGCGGGACTCCTCCGCACCTTCATGCGCTCTCGCCCCTCCCGCCAGCGGCTGCGCCAACGGGGAATCCTGCGGCAGAGGGTATTTGGTTGTGACCTTGGAGAGCACCTCAGCAACTCAGGCCAGGATGGTGAGGCCTGGGACCTCCCACCCATGCTGCCTCAGGCGGCTCCGGCCCTGACCCTGCTCCCTCCTCCCAGTGCCCCAGGTGCTGCGCTGCTGCTCTGAGTTTATCGAGGCCCATGGTGTCGTGGATGGAATCTACCGGCTCTCTGGCGTGTCCTCCAACATCCAGAGGCTTCGGTGCGTGCCCTCAGCCTGAATTTATTAGCACCCTCTGTCCCAGCCCTGTGCTAGCTGCTGGGCTCACATTTGTGGACAGTTAGGAAGGCACGGTGCAGTGGCGACTGGAGGCTCCCTCGAGGAGGCGACAGCCAGCTAAGGCTGGAGGGCCAGAGTAAGCGTGGCACCCTCAGAGGGTCAGCTCAGGGACCCCACCACATGCCAAGACTAACTGGGGCTGGGGGTCCACAGCCAATGACACACCTCAGGCCCTAGGGACAAATGAGAAGATGGCTGAAGCTACCGGGTGAAGCGCAGAAAATTAGATTTGGCCTAATGAGGATAGAAATGGTCAGAGAGAGCAAGGAATAGTTGCCATACTAGTAATCCAAGCACTCGGGAGCTAGAGGCAGGAGGATCAGGGATTCAAGGCCATATTTGACTACATAGGGAGTTCTGGGCCAGACTAAGCTGTGTAAGAGACTTTCTCAAAAAACAAACAAACAAACAAACAAACAAAAACAACCCACCACCACCAAAAAGGAAAAGCAGGATGGTGAATTTGTATTCTTGAGTATCCAGGGAAGGAGGAGACCTCATGGGAAGGAGGAGAGAGAGGGGTGTCCTATCAAAAGTGTCCCTGTAGAGGTAGCAACCAGGCAAGGGCAAAGCGGCAGGATGGTCAGCACTGAGGCTGAGCAGGCAGCTCGGGCGGGCGGGGCTCCTTGCACTTTAGTGCAGGAGATAGTGCCGGCTCAGCAGGCACGCCACTGCTGACCAGGCCCCAAGCCATTCCTCACTGGTGCTCTATCAGTGAGCCACACCAGCTCCCTGACAGGGCCACTTTGATGGCTTAGGATGTGGACTTTATTTAAGGGAACCACCAGAAGGTTCTGAACCAAGGAGACATAAAGGCGGGAAGAAATGGGACAAGATAAGGGCCAACAGAGACTGCAGGGCGAGAGCAGGAAAGGTGAGGGCGAGTGACTTGAACGGAATTGCAGAGGGGGAGAGCTTTTACCTGGGAGCAACAGACACCCAGCGGGGCAGTGAGCACTTCACTTCCACGGTGGCTGCCGGAAGCCCAGAGAATGGCTTGGCAGGGGTTACGGCAGGGGCGTAGGTAGACTCTGGAGTCACCCTCAAGTAACTGCAGGTGAGGCATCTTGCCCCTGAGCCTCAGTGCCCCTTGTCTAAAAGTGCGGCTCCCTTGTCTTTGCCCTGCAGGGTCATTGGGGATTCAGTGAGGTTCTCCCTCTGGATCCCTGCGCGGGCCTAGGGAGGATGGTTGTATCCATCTGTGGGACTGTGGGTAGGGGTAGGGGTGGAGAGCATGGCCTATGGCCAGGTTAGCACACCCCCCCTCCCCGACCTGTAATTCTCAGGCATGAGTTTGATAGTGAGAGGATCCCGGAGCTCTCTGGTCCCGCCTTCCTCCAAGACATCCATAGCGTGTCCTCGCTCTGCAAGCTCTACTTCCGGGAACTGCCCAACCCCTTGCTCACCTACCAGCTCTACGGGAAGTTCAGTGTGAGTAAGGGGACTTCCTGGCTGGGCAGCCGGGGCGCAGCCGTGTGTGCCCAGCACTAGCCTGCCTGTCCACCTTGTCAGGAGGCCATGTCCGTGCCCGGAGAGGAAGAGCGCTTGGTGCGCGTGCATGACGTCATCCAGCAGCTGCCCCCGCCACACTACAGGTAAAGGGCAGGGTCAGGAAGGGCGACAGCTGGGGGGCAGAGAGCGGAAGGCGAGCAGTCATGTGCCACTGCTCTGCCCCCAGGACCCTGGAGTACCTGCTGAGGCACCTGGCCCGCATGGCGAGACACAGCGCCAACACCAGCATGCATGCCCGCAACCTGGCCATTGTCTGGGCGCCCAACCTGCTACGGTGAGCTTCCCGAGGTGGGGTAGATCCCTTCAGAAAAGACCTGCGTGGGTCCCACGTGAGCATCTGGGGAGAATCAGACCCGGCAGAAGGAGCAGAGTGCAAGCCTGAGGCAGACGGGCCTGGTGATTTGCAGGGACCCCAGGGCGGCCTGCTGGGCTGCAGCTCAGCGAATGAGCAAGGGCCCAGAGACGCAGCCACAGACTACAGGAGACCAGGGTGATAAGTCAGTGGAGGCTTACTGTGGGTTAGTGGACGCAGGCCTCTAGGCTGGGACAGTCTGACTGACTCAGGGGCCCGGTTCTCCGAGAACACACTGTTGGGGACAGCACAGCATGAAGGGGCTACTATGACATCCACGTGGGAGGAGTGGAGACTGGGCTAGTATGCCAGCTAGCTTTCTGTAACCACAGCACAATGCCATAGCAGTTAGCTCGCACAGAGGAAGGATTTGTTTGGAGCACAGTTTCAGAGATTTCTGTCCACAGTCAGCTGATCCATTGCTTTGGGCTTGTGACAAGGTAACATGGTGGGGGTTTATGGCGGAATAAAACTGCACAGCTCAGGAAGGGCTGGGGGTGCGGCCGGACCCCATGAGCATGCTTCCAGAGACATGAAGACCTCTCCCACCAGGCCCCACCTCCTAAGCCCCCAACTTGAGGACCAAATCTTTGCTCCATGGGCATTTAGGGGATACTTTACCAAATTATACCAAGCAGGATGGGGGCACAAACGGGGGTGTGTGAGGATTTGGGTAGGTTTTCAGAGGCCCAGGTACACTGAGTGTCGCTGTGGATGTGAGGGAAGGAGGGGTCCAGGACAGCCTCGGTGGTCGCTCAGAGCCACTTGAGCAGCACGGAGGTGGAAAGGGGGGAAGGCGGAGAGCCTCTTCTACCAGTTATCACTTTAAGGTCAGAGATTGGTGGGATGGAGAGTGGCCTCTTCCCCTGGCGCCCTCCACTGCCAGCCGGGCTCAAGGTGCATGCCTCACCCTCCACCTCCAGGTCCATGGAGCTGGAGTCAGTGGGGCTGGGCGGGGCGGCCGCCTTCCGAGAGGTCCGGGTGCAGTCGGTGGTGGTGGAGTTCCTGCTCACCCACGTGGAGGTCCTGTTCAGTGACACCTTCACCTCTGCGGGCCTGGACCCTGCAGGTATGCCCGGCCCGTGCCCTCACGTCTGCTAGTGTCCGGGCTGCAGTGGGAGGGCAGGAGGGCTCCTGGCCCCACCCCACTGACTAGACCTCCCCCCCAGCTCCTTGAGGACCCCGCCCCGGCCCATCCCTGCCCGCGCCCCCTCCTTCTCATTTCAGCTCCTACGCCCGGGATCCCCACTTCTTGGCCAGGACGCGGTTCTTCCTTCACCCCTTATAGCTCCTGGGGGCGCGTGGGGCCTTGGGTGCACCTGGGAGGAGGTGGGAGGTCCCCAGACTTGACCCCACCCTGGCCCTGCCCAGACTCCCTGCCCTGCCCCGGACCCCAGCCCAGTCAGGAGTCTGCTCGTCGGAGGGTCCTCTGGCCCGAGGTAACTGACCAGAGCCACTGCCCTTGCTGGCTGCTGGGAGCTGCCTCCTCATCAGCTCGTTCTGCCTCACCCCTCCTTCTTACTGCCTGCTGCCCCCCATTCCCGCCTGACCTACACCGGCCCCTGCCTTGCCAGCCCGGGTGGGCACGCTGCGGGGCCGGGGCTTGGGCTGTGGCGCTTGGCTTTGCCTGTCTTCTCCAGTGGCTCGACGCTTACAGTTTGGTCCCCTTTCTGACCTCTCCAGGCGGCTGCCTCCTTCCCAGACCCAAGTCCCTTGCGGGAAGCAGCCCGTCCACTCGCCTGCTGACGCTGGAAGAAGCCCAGGCCCGAACCCAGGGCCGCCTTGGAACACCTATGGAGCCTACAACTCCCAAGACCCCAGCCTCACCCATGGAAAGGTAGGAATGAGGGGCTGCTGAGGGGAGGATTAGCCTGGAGGCCCTGGTCCCTCAGACTGCCGATTCTCTCTCACCCAAACTCCAGAAGGAAAAGAGAGAGAGGGGAGAAACCGCGCAAACCAGGGGGGAGCAGCTGGAAGACGTTCTTCGCCCTGGGGCGGGGCCCAAGCATACCCCGGAAGAAGCCGCTGCCCTGGCTGGGGGGCAGCCGAGCCCCTCCACAGCCTTCAGGTCTGAAGAGACTGAGGCCTTGCTGGGGGGTGGGGTAGTGGGGTGGCTCTGGTGCTGGAGAGGCAGGTGACTTCTCTTTCACCTCCCCACAGGCAGCAGACCTGACACCGTCACACTGCGATCTGCCAAAAGCGAAGAGTCTCTGTCGTCGCAGGCCAGCGGGGCTGGTGAGCGCAGAGTGGACCCTGTGTGTGCCCACGCTGAGCTAGGGGGACTGAGGCTCTGCTTCACCTCTAAATGCTGCGCTTCACACTGGGGAGAGGGCCTTGGGGTTGGGGGGGGGGGTTGTTATTGCTTTGAGACGAGGTCTTGCTGTGTTGCTCTGGCTGGCCTGGAACTTGCAGTATAGCCCAGGCTGGTCTCACAACTCTTTGCCTTGGGCCTGGGAACTGAGGTTATATGTGTGAGTCACCAGATCCAGCAAGGGACTTAAACTCTGTTTTTGGAGACGGGATTTTTCTATGTAGCCCTGGCAGTCCTGGAAGGCCCTCTGTAGACCAGGCTGACCTCAAACTCAGAGACCCAATTGCCTCTGCCTCCAGAATGCTGAGATTAAAGGCGTGTGCCGCCACCACTCCCTGGTGGGACTTAAGCTTTTAAAACCAAGGCTTTGGGTATAAGCTAGGAAAATTTTAAGCACAATTAGATACAAATTTCGACTGTAGTACACACAGCATTCACTGGTGCAAACAGGGTCTTTGGTTTAGTCCTTCCTTTTGAAAATATTTAAATAATATAATATTATACACTCCCTGGAGGCAATTAAAAGAGCCCCCATCCATTCCTGGGTGCCTTGCCCTCCCTGCGCTGCCCCTGACCAGAGGCATCCTCTGAACGGCCATCGTTCCTCACCGTGAGGGCACGAAGGCCCGTGCGAGTTCCCCGTTGCTCAGGTCCATTGCTTTGAAGCATTTGTGGGCAACATGAGAAGTGAGAGGATTGTTCCATGTCCGGTCACCGCGCAACTACAGACCACCCTCTCTCTCTGTCTCGTGTGCGCGCACGCCAGCATCCCTCCACCCAGTGGAGCTGGTGGTCCTTGTCAGCAATCCCAGCACACTCGCAGCTGTTCTGGAGGGTCCGCCCACAGCCTGACAGGATCAGAAGAGTCAGTGGTCTCCCAAGGCGGTTGTTCCGTCTAGACGCCATGCACAGCGCATGATACCCTCTCATGCCTCACAGGTCATGCGGTCACCAGACCCCGAGCCTGCTCTGGTCTGGACCGGTTCAGGACCCTGCCCTCCCCGTGGTCAGAACGGCTCTTTCTCAGCCGGGCTGGGCATCCTCCAGGGAGCTCTGCTTCGGTTCACTCGGTTTCTGCCAAGCTGTGTGTGACACTGACCCCCCATCCCAACAGGCCTCCAGAGGCTGCACCGGCTGAGACGGCCCCACTCCAGCAGCGATGCCTTCCCCGTGGGCCCTGCACCGGCCGGCTCCTGCGAGAGCCTGTCCTCCTCCTCGTCCTCCTCGTCCTCGTCCTCCTCCTCCTCAGGGTCCTCAGCAGCTGGCCTGGGGCCACTGTCTGGGTCCCCCTCACACCGCACCTCAGCCTGGCTAGACGATGGCGATGAGCTGGACTTCAGTCCACCCCGCTGCCTGGAAGGGCTCCGAGGACTCGACTTTGATCCCCTTACCTTTCGCTGCAGCAGCCCCACCCCCGGGGACCCTGCCCCTCCTGCCAGCCCTGCCCCTCCAGCCTCTGCCTCGGCCTTCCCACCTCGGGCAACCCCACAGCCCCTGTCACCCCATGGACCCGCCAACCCCGCTTCACCCACGGCCCTGGACATCTCAGAGCCCCTGGCTGTGTCAGTGCCGCCAGCCGTCCTGGAGCTGCTGGGCGCTGGAGGGACACCTGCCTCAGTCACCCCAACACCGGCTCTGAGCCCTAACCCAGGCCTGCGCCCCCATCTCATCCCCTTGCTGCTGCGTGGAGCTGAGGCCCAGCTAAGTGACACCTGCCAGCAGGAGATCAGCAGCAAGCTGGCAGCAACGGGTCCTCGGGGAGCTCCTGGCCAGCACAGTGAGTCTTGCTCAATAGACCCCGCTCACCCCCCCTCCCCAAGCCGCCCCAGGACCCAGCCGCAGCCCTTCCCGGTCCTCTCTGTGTTGTAGGTCCTGGCGTGGACTCACCGTTACTGCCGCCACCCCTGTCTCTGCTGCGCCCTGGTGGGGCTCCACCCCCACCCCCCAAGAACCCAGCCCGTCTCATGGCCCTGGCCTTGGCTGAGCGGGCTCAGCAGGTGGCAGAGCAACAGAGCCAACAAGAGCAGGGGGGCACCCCGCCTGCTCCCCACTCGCCCTTCCGACGCTCACTGTCCCTGGAGGTGGGTGGAGAGCCTGTGGGGACTTCAGGGAGTGGGCCACACCCTCCTTCCTTAGCCCACCCAGGCGCCTGGGCTTCAGGCCCTCCACCTTACCTCCCAAGGCAACAAAGCGATGGGAGCCTAGTGAGAAGCCAGCGGCCCCTGGGGACCTCAAGGAGGGGCCCCAGAGGCCCTTCCCAGGTCAGTGCCCAGCTCAGGGCAAGCGGGCCTTACAGGGATGCTCCGGAGATGGCAGCGCAGTCCCCGTGTTCTGCCCCCTCACAGGGCTCCAACCCCAGCTTCTTCTCAACCCCCCGAGAGTGTCTGCCCCCTTTCCTTGGGGTCCCCAAACAAGGCTTGTACTCCCTGGGGACCCCGTCCTTCCCCCCCAGCTCTCCAGCCCCCGTCTGGAGGAACTCGCTGGGTACCCCCTCAGCGCTGGACAGGGGGGAGAATCTGTACTATGAGATCGGGACCGGGGAGGGGACCTCCTACTCTGGTCCCAGCCGGCCCTGGAGTCCCTTTCGCTCCATGCCTCCTGAGAGGCTCAATGCCTCATATGGCATGCTCGGCCAGTCGCCACCACTGCACAGGTCCCCCGACTTCCTGCTCAGCTACCCAGCGCCCTCCTCCTGCTTTCCGCCCGACCACCTCAGCCACTCAGTTTCCCAGCACCTTCCCCGGCGCCCTACCCGGCCTGAGCCCCTCTACGTCAACCTAGCCCTGGGGCCCAGGGGCCCTTCGCCTGCCTCCTCTTCCTCCTCCTCTCCTCCTGCCCACCCCCGAAGCCGGTCAGATCCCGGACCCCCTGTTCCCCGCCTCCCACAGAAGCAGCGGGCTCCTTGGGGTCCCCGTACCCCGCATCGGGTGCCTGGACCCTGGGGCTCTCCTGAGCCTCTCCTGCTCTACAGGGCGGCTCCACCAGCCTATGGGCGGGGAGCCGAGCTCCGAGGATCCTTGTACAGAAATGGAGGACACAGAGGGGAGGGGGCTGGTCCCCCTCCTCCTTACCCCACCCCCAGCTGGTCCCTGCATTCAGAAGGACAGACCCGAAGTTACTGCTGAGCTAGGACCAGGAAAGAACCCTTCCAACCACACTGGATGCTGGGCCAAGGCATCCCTTGTTTTGTATTTTCCTGAGCTCGCCACCCCACCCCACCCCAAGTTTCTAACTTTGTAACTTGCTCTGATGGGGGTCCCTTACCCCCAAATCATTGTCCCTGCCCTGGGTCATAGTGTATGACCAGCCCCATCTCCCTCCTGGGGCCCTTGCACAAATTGGAGTGGGGGACAGGGCTGGAGCCTTGTCCTCCCCCAGGAGCCTCCAGCCTGTCCTGCTCTATGCACAGGGCTGGGGACAGAGCTCCTGCCCACCTCTCCCCATGCCCCCACTAAACCACCTGACAACGTTAATGAATAAAGATGGCAGAAATCTGGCCAGTGAATGATGAAGAGACAGTGGGGGCTTTACCACTTTCTTTGCTTTGAGGCAAACCCTGAGGGTCAGGGTCAGTCCAGGGGGCTCCCAGGGTAAAGTCTGCAGGGAGAGCTGTGGGCACCTAGCTAGGCGTCTGGGCTAAGAGCAGGGCTCAGCCTGCGCGTGTCTTCCAAGTGGCGTTTATTCTGCAGCTCTGCCATGATCTCCTCCAGCAGATCCATCCTGGGCAGCAGGAGGGCAGAGACAGGCCTGAGCTTAGCTCAGGGACGAGGGGCCCGGGCCTCCCACCATGGCACAGCCTGTTAGCTCACTCCTGTAGGCCGGAGAAGAGGCTCCCTTCCCTCAGCTCTCTGTCCTCACTGTCAGGCTTCTGCAGGAGAAAAGGTTGGCGCTGCCACCAGCTGCCCCGGGGGCGCAGAGCCTGGGACTTTTGGGGACTCTACTCATGGCCTTCCCTGGCAGCAGCTCCCTGGGCACTGAGGCCTCTTTGTTGGTCAGCATGCAGGGGTGGACTCCCAGGGTTGGGGTCCAGAACAGCAGCCCTGTGTGTGCCAGCTGCCCGGCAGAGCTTAGATCCTCCTCAGGCTCTGGTCCCCAGCAGGGAAGCTGACTCCAGAAGGCTGGTGTGCAGGGCAGGGCCTTGGGGGGAGCAGGGCCGCTCAGGGAAGCACAGCTCAGGGGAGAGGGAGCCGGGAGACTCCTGGAGGGGTCACAGGTTAGCAGTGGGCCAGGGGGATCCATACTGTTGAGGTGGGCTCCGGGCAGCAGGGTGCGCTGGGGCTGGGGCCTACATGAAGACTGGAGCCGGGGCTGCTGAGGGTCAAGCTACTGCCCGAGTCCCAGTCTGCACTCCACCGGGCCCCACTGTGACCTGTGGTCCCAGGAGTCTGCAGAGCCTGCAGAAAACAATGGCAAGGAACTGACGTGGCTGTCGGGGTCCCCACACCTCCCTTGGTCCCCCAGACCGTCCCCTGCTTCCTACCTGGGAAGGGCCTGGGGAAGGGCCCACGAGCCTGGCCCTGGCCTTGACCCTGGGAGCCCCTTTACAGTACAGGTGCCCTGGGGGTACAGACCAGATTGTTGGAATGTGTCACACACCATCACAGTGGCCCACCATCACCCTTGCCCTCTAACCTGGCAGGGAGCCCAGGGTTACAGGAGACAGAGCTGTCCACTCGACTGGAGAGCTGGCCTTGGGTGCTGAGTCCTGTGGCAAGAAGGCGGGACGTAGTGCCCTGGGCCCTGCCCAGGGTTCCAGAAGTACCCACGCCACTCTGCCCTTCCTGTACCTGGGCCACAGCCTTTCGCAACAGGTACCGAGTGCTCTGCAAGCTGCCCCAGCGGTCGGCAGGCTCTAGGCCCAGCCCAGCTTGAACCAAGGCCTGGTAGGGGGCTGGCAGCAAGGGGTCCAGGCCTGGGCTCTCACCTGCCTCCAGCTTAGCCTTCACCTCAGGCCCCTTTCCCCCAGCCCAGGGCAGCTCTCCTGTGAAGAAGCGCCATGAGGAGAGACACACTAGTGGGGTGTTTCTGGGGATAGGCGTAAGTGCAGGGAGGGTCACTGACCAGTGAGGACCTCCTGGGCCAGGATGCAGAAGCTGTAGAGGTCTGAGGTCACGGCTGGCACGTCGCCACGGATCAGCTCAAGCGGTAGCCATGGGTACAGTTCAGGGGGCGGGGGGAGCCCTGGGCTTGGGTCTCTCTTGGGGGGGTCCTGTTGCAGCCTGGAGAGGCCAAAAGGTCTAGTGAGCTAGTGCGTGCTGGGAGGGACACAGGGCAGACACGGGGACAGGCGCTCACCTGGGCTGCGGCCTGGGCTGATGCAGCGGCCGCCCGTGTTCCAGGTGGCTCACCTTGGCCAGGCCTGGCCGCACAAGGTGCACAGCATGGGAACTGAGGCCACCGTGGGCCCAGCAGCGGGACTGCAGGAACAACAGGGCCTCCAACACCTGTAGCAGCAGCGTGCAGGGCGGCAGGCCTGGCAGGGCTCGGGGACCTTCCTGGTCGGGTCCTGGAGAGTGCAGCAGGAGATACAGGGAGCCCAGGCACACGGGCTCAAAGAGCAGGCTCAGTCTGGACAGGTCCTCCGAGGGGCTCAGTGCCATCAGCAGCAGCAGCCCAGGGTGGTGCAGGATGCTGGGAGGGGACAGAGCAGGCCCTTCACAGCCTGTCCCAGCTGCACAGGGCGAGGGCTGAGCCGGGCTGCCACCTGCCACGGGCCAGGGGAGGGCTGCCTCAGCAGCTGACACTGAGACCCCTGTCACAGCCTAGCCCCAGCCCCACCCTACCGGCCTAAGGTCCCTCCCACCCCTTCGGCCTCTCCCACACAGATCTGGGTACTGCTCGACAGGGAGAAGGGGGTCGCTGTCGCAGGAAGGCTTTGGGCTGGGTGCTAGGACAGAGCTGAAGCCTCACTACAGCTCTGGCTAGTGCCACAGCCCCTCGATTAGGGCCTGCTGGCGTCGGAGGTCAGCTGGGACTGCTAACCTGCAGTGCTGAAGGTCAGCCAACAGCACATCGGGGCGGGTTTCGGGGGTCTTCAGCTGCCGCACGGTAACGGGGTGGCCCTTCCACAGGAGGCTGGGGAACGGGCAGTGGGTGAGTGCCACAGGCAGGGTTTCCTGGTGAGGGAAGCGGGAGGCGGGGGCGCTCTGGGGGCACGGAACAGGCTCTCACTTGGCCATGAGGGTATGAGAACTGCTCTCGTAGGTACGGTCAGGCTCACCCTGGGTTGGTGCCAGCTCCTTGGAGTCTGCCAGCGGGATGCCCATTACCAGTGCCGGCGGCTGGAGGCAGCTCAGCTGAGGGAGGGAAGACAGCAGGGCTTTGACACCGACAGCATGGGGGGGTAGTCCCTGCCCTCCCATCCTCTCCCTCTTACCTGGCCGAACCCCAACGCGGGGGTTTTGGGGGATCTCCTGAGCTGCCCTTGCCTCAGCGCCCTGGGACAGAGGGCAGGCTGAGGGTAAGTATGAGGCCATTGGGTGTGCTGGCCCTGGAGGTTCGAGGGCGTGGACTGTTACCTGTCTGCCTGCACCAGCCTCAGCGAGGGTAGCGAGCCACACAGGCTGTGCCCAGAGCCAGCCTGCAAGTGACTCAGGGACACGGTGGGCGCCAACTGCCCGCTCTGCACCAGCGCTGACATGTGGGAACGGCACCACTGCAACAGCTCCAGCACCTGGGTGGGGCACAGGGTCAGACGGGGTCACAGGCTGGCCCCAGGCCTCCGCCGAGCTCCCGGCGCCGCTCCCCTCCCCACCCCCCACGCTTCCCCACCCCCCATGCCTCCGCCGCCCGCCCCTGCCCCCCCCCCCCCCCCCCCCGCTCACCTCCCAGCTCTGCGTGCTATCACCCCGCTCAGCCCAGTCTCGAGGGGTGCGACCCTGCTGGTCCCGCAGACGCAGGTCGCCTCCTGCCTGCAGCAGGAGCCACAGCACCAACCCTCGGCCGGAGGAGGCAGCCGCGTGCACGGGTGTGCTGCCGTCGAGGCAGCGGCTAGGACAGGAGGCGAGGCGACGGCGGGATGGTCCACCAGGGAGGAGGCAGGCACCAAAGGGAGCGGGGCGGGGCGGGGGCGGGGCGGACGGGAGGCGACCTGGGAAGTGGGTCGCGTGAGGACTCCAGGGGTCAGCGCGGGAGGAAGACGTGCCTGTGAGCTCTGGGAGGCGCCACAGTGACAACAGAGATGAGCTTAACTCAGAGGACGGGGAGAGCGCCGGGGTACCTGTGCGCTGGGAGGGTTGGGGTGCTGGGGCTGTCCACTCACTGGTTGGGGTTGGCGCCAAAGGTCAGCAGGAGGCGCACGGCCGAAGCGTGGCCCAGGAGCGCGGACAGGAAGAGCGCCGTCTGCCCGGCGGAGTTCTCACCGTCTACCTGGACAACTGAGGGACAGAAAGCTTAAGACTGTGTCCGCTCCGGGTTCCCAGCTTGTCTTTCCAGCCACTAGGCAACCCGCAGCTCGTGTGGAACTCAATATGCACCCGAGGCTGACCGTGGACTTCCGCTCCTCCCGTCTCTGAGGGCTGGGCTGGGCTGGGCCTTACAGGTCTACGCCCCCATGACTGGTGTATGTACGGACACTGAACATTATAAACAAACGCGCTTGCAGCCGAGTGACATCCCCGCCCCTAGGCAAATGCTGGTCAACTCTGGCCTCCACTGTCTCTCTTTGGCTTGGTGCCTGCTCCACCTCCTTCTTCATCATCCTGCCATTGCCCTTGGTTCTGTCCTAGCCATGGCCTCCACGGCAGGACAGCTATGCCCTGATCCCAGAATCCATTTCTGTGTCCTCGAACTAGTACCTCAACACACTAGAAGCTCCATGGAGCTAGAACTCGGGGAGATACCCGTCTGCCGTGAAAATATTCATCCTCCCCAGAGCAGAGGTGTCAGCCCAGGGGCCAAATGTGGTTCTCCAGAACGTCTCAGCACATTCTCTGCCTTACATCTTACTCACAGACTCCGCCAAATTCTGCGATGACATCTTAACTGGTTTTGCACTCTCAACCTGTACCCTAAAGGCATCTTCCCAAAACACAGATCTTTGCCAGGATTACATCATCCCAAACAAGCTGTTCCAAAACAAACAAAAAAAAATACACTAAGAGGGCAAGGCTTGTTTTATGAAGCCAGCCTGACCTTAATTCCAAAACTAGATGACAGTTTCCAGAACCAGAAAGTCAAACTATAAATGAATTCCACATATGACACAGGCAAAAACCTAAGGAAACCCGACTTATCCCCAGAAAGCGGGTGTATCAATGTAATGGACTTTAATGAATTAAAGGACAAAAGCTCTATGTCCTGGACAGCTCAGTGGTAGAGCCCCTGCCTAGAATCCCCCAGTGAGGGGCTGGGGTGTGGCTCAGTGGTAGAGCCCCTGCCTAGAATCCCCCAGTGAGGGGCTGGGATGTGGCTCAGTGGTAGAGCCCCTACATAGAATCCCCCAGTGAGGGGCTGGGTGTGGCTCAGTGGTAGACTGCTTGCCTGGTACAAATAAGGCACTGGGTTCTATCCCTAGCACCAGTGGGAAAACTCACATTTTAACTTTGTAGATATATATATATATAGAAGTCGATGTAATGTAATACCTGTGTATAACCAGGGAGAAAAAAAACCTCAGAAAATTTAGATAGGAATTGCTAATTATGATTATAAACTCCAACAGCAAGCATGATGCTTAGTACAAAAACATTTAATAATTTTGTTTTGTTTTGCTTGTTTGTTTTGTTTTTCAAGACAAGGTTTCTCTGTGTACCCTTTAGGCTGTGCTTGAACTCGCAGAGATCAGCCTGCCTCTGCCTCCTGAGTGCTGGATTAAAGGCGTGTGCCACCATGCCCAGACAGACTTAATTTTTAAAAATAAGGGGAAAAAACAAAAAAACATTTTTTGAGACAGGGTCTCATTAACACAGGCTTCTCCCAAACTCTTCATCCTCCAGCCTCAGCTTCCTGAGGAACGGGATGACACGTGCTTCATGATGGACGCTTTCTCTCTCTCTTCAGCAAGCCTTCTCGGCCAGTAAGTAAGTTTCGACAGTGTCCAGACAGAGTCAGCTTGTGAAACTGTCACCTGCTCATCGCAGTGTGCTCGTCCGACTTCCGGAACCAGTGGTTTCTCATCAAACACAACCAAACCCAGCAATGCTCGCCCACCGTCTCAGGCTCTTCATTGTCTGGGTCCAGTACCCTTCAGCGTCAGCTCCCTGTAGCCAGCTACTCATTTACACACCCAGTTCTCTTAGACCCTAGGACCTTCGCCCAGCCCAGCCCAAGAGATTCCTCCCCCTGCTTTCTGCAGAACGGCTTCCCCTTCATATCCCGTCTGACCATAGACGTTGGCGCCCAGCAGGAGTGGCAACCATACAGGACCCTGGCACCCAGTTACGGGCTGGCCAACTGAAGCCGTCCCCTCGTTGCTGGCTCCTGCCCCACACCATCCCAGCAGCGGAGGCTCACCTCCACGCAGGAGCCTGGCCAGGCCCCAGCACGGGCCTCCAGCCATAGCGAGGCGATGCAGACGGCCCACCTGGGCATCTGGCTCCCTCACGAAGCCCAGCTCCACCGGGAAGCGTGAGGCCCGCGAACGCATGTGCGGCGCTTGCAGCCTCAGCCGGCTCCCGAGGGCAGGGCGCAGGTGAAGGGCAACAGGGCCAGCTCAGAGTGGGGGGCAGTCCGGTTGAGAAGGCCACCCGGGAAGGTCTGACGGGGAAGGAGATGTCTGGTGGGCTGGGCCGGGAGCCCTAGAGAGGGGTCAGAGGTGACAGCGGGAATTTTAGGACAGGGGTGGGCATTCCAGGGAAACTCGAGAGCTGCGGGCAGAGTCCAAGGCTGGGTAGGGTTCTGCGGTACGAAGGGGCTAGCGGGCTCTGGAGGGTGCTGGCGGGCCTGTGGGCTGGGGAGGTCTTGGGTTCCCAGGATAGAGATGGGGTCTGGGTGAAAGGGGAGCTGGGCTGGGGCTGGAGGTGGGGAATGAAATGGGTGTGGGGTCCTGAAAGCTCCAAATAGTTCCGGAACTGGAGTCTGGCCCTGACGGCTTGGTACCTACCGTTGGGCGCAAGCGTGACTGTCACGTGATGGTGGTACAGCGATGGCTGGCCTCGCTGGAATCCTAGGCGCGCGTAGGCCTGCGGCTTCCTGCCGTCTTGCACTTGCGCAGTAGCCCACCCTAAAAAGTAACGCCCCCCCACCCCCATCCCATCGCAGGAGAGAACAGAGACGTTGATCCAAGAGGTTCCAGCTAGCTCTCGCTCCTGCCTGCCTGCTCCAGGACTTGGGGTAGCTCGAGTCTCTTATTTTATGTGTATGAATTTTGCTGTGTGTATGTACGTAAATGCACCGCACAGGCTTCTAATGCCCATGGTGCCCCACAGAGGGGACAGGAGCCCCTGGAACTGGAGTTAAAGGGGCTTGTGAACCACCGTGAGGTGCTAAGGCTCGAGGCCCTCTGGAAAAGCAGCCAGTGCTAACAGCTCGGCCATCTCCCCAACTCCCAGCCGCACCCTCTCGGCTCCTCTTAACCTCAGTTCCGTATTCCCGCGCTCAGCCATCTCACGGCTGTTTCCAGCCAATTCCCTGCACCCCATGCCTGAGGGCCCTTTAGGACGCCTTCCTTTAGACGTGGCCTGGACCACGGCTGCTCCTCTCCACCCAGTCTCCACTCTTTCCTAGCTTCTCTAGTCTCTGAAACAGGTAGGGACCTGAGCAAGGAGCCTGAGGGCAGAAGAATTCTGGGTCCTTATCTTGACGCCGCCTTTAACCGAGGTGCGTTTGTTGGTTACCGCCTGCCTCCCGCCCTGTTCCTCTCAACAGCTGCGGCAGAACGCAAGGATATTTACAAAGTAGGAGCCCCTAGACCAACACAGCCTACAACTCCGTCGGGTGTAACACCCTTGACCTGGGCTCATGGTAACAATTGCCTAGGTCACTTTGCAGAAACGTGAGCCAAGTGTTTCCGGCTCATTTCTTTGTTCCCAGAACTCAGGAATCGGAGGCAAGAAAGATTGCCAGGAGCTCAAGTCCAGCTTAGTCTACATAGAATAACCCCGTCTCAGTAAACAAACAAAACAACACTCCCCAAAATGTTTGTAGGCTGCTCTTGCCCACCCCACTTGAGATAATTTCTTACAATGTAGTGTGGGCTGGCCTTGAATTTGCAACCTCTAGTCTCAGTTCCCAGTGCTGGGATTTTAGGCACACTCAGCAAACACTGACTCTCTCGTGGGGGCTGGAGATAACCGAGAGATGAGCGAGGCGGGGTGGGGAGAGGCTTGACACCCCTGCCCTTATGTCCTAGCCTCACCCTCCCACCTTCAACCTTTGAAGGCTGCTACCTACTCAGCGCTGCATGCAGGTCTGTTCTTCTTTGACGGCTGGGCATTCAACACTGTCACACAGGATGAGGTGGGCCCATCGGGTGGGCGCCTGTTTCTGTCACCCGGTCTCTGCGTTTTCCTGAACACCTTCCTGCCCTGTCCTGAACCCAGGACATCCATGCGAGTGGCTCCCGGCTGTAATTCAGAGGCTCCTGGGCAGAGCTGCCCATGCTTTAATCTACCAGGTCGTGTGTATGTGTGTGTGTGAAGGAGAGAGAAAGAGGAAGGGTGGGGGAGGGGAGAAGGTCTCCCAAAACCATAACTCCCTTCACAATCACTCTGACTCCGGGCTCTCACTCCTTCTGTCTCCACCTTCCAACTGCTGGGATCCTTACTCTTTGGAGACAAAACCCACGGCTGACGGACAGTTACGAGACCTCTTCTCCTCCCCCTGCCGAGAGAAGTCAATGAAAGTCTGATGCCCTTGGCGTTCAGAAGGGCGGTTTGGCCTCTAGTCAGGGCTGGCTCCATCGCTTGTAGAAGGCTGTCTCGAACTCTGTGTCTGCACGGGGCAGCGTGACCTAACCTGTTCATTGCTGCGGCTTGGGGTCACTCCTATTGTTTGACACAGGAGATCACTGCCTGGTTTCCTTGCCCTCCTTGGCCCCACCCTCCTCTGCCGGTCGCTCCCATGATTCCTTGTTGTCTCTGGAGCTGCACCATCAGTCCCTATGCACCCCTGTCCTTGTCTCCTCACTCCTTCATCTGAACCTTTTTTTCTGTGTGTTTTTCTTTATGTGGCTCGGTACTCAAGACAGGGTTTCTCTGTGTAGCCCTGGCTGTGCTGGAACTCAGTCTGTAGACCAAGCTGGCCTTGAACTCGGGGATCCACCTGCCTCTGCCTCTCAAGTGCTGGGATTAAAGCTGTACACCATCACCTGGCTCCTTTCCATCTTTGTAACGTTTATGATTATTTTCAGTGCTGGAGATGGAATTCAAGTTCTTGTATATGTTAAGCACAAACTCTACCATTGAGCCATACCCACACCCCAATCCCCTGCTCTACCACTGAGCCACACCCCAGCCCCCTCACTGGGGAATTCTAGGCAGGGGTTCTATCACTGAGCCACACTCCAGCCCCTCACTGGGGAATTCTAGGCAGGGGCTCTACCACTGAGCCACAACCCAGCCCCTCACTGGGGGATTCTAGGCTGATGCTCTGCCAATGATCTGTGTTCTCAGCTATTTGTTTTATTTCGTTTTGTTTTGTTGAGATAGAGTCTTACTTTGTAGTCCAGGCTAGCCTTGAACCTGTAATACTCCTGCCTGTGCTTCTGAGTGCCACATCTTTCTGAGACAGCCCCTCTCACTGGGACGTGGGGCTCACCAGTTGGACTGGGCTGGCTGACCAGGATCTGCCTGTCTCAGCCTATGCCACCATGCTTGGAGTTTATATGGGTGCTGGAGAGTAAACTCAGCTCCTCATGTTTGTGCACCAGACATTTTACCAACAGAGACATCCTGCCAGCCTGCCCATCAATGTTTATTAACCAAAGGAGTCGTCCACCCATCCTGGGCATGTGGCCTTGGCCAAGGCTTTTGTCTTAAGTCATCAGTGTCTGCTCTTCAGCTGTGTGATTTATTGCGATCCTCTGAGATGGGAAGAATTCTTGAATAGATCCCTGACCAACCTCCTTGAAGGATAGATGATCTTCTAAAGACCCAATTCATTCATTCATTCATTCATTCATTTTTTTCTCTCTCTCCTCTCTCCTCCTTCACAGTATGTAGCCCAGGCTGGCTTGGAACTCATGATCCCCTGCCCCAGCCTCCCTCCGTTGTGCTGGGAGGGAGGGAGTGTGTTACCACATAGGACTAACCAGCTCCAGACTTTCGGGCATGCTATCCAAGCTCTGGTGGTGGAGGCAGGAGCAGCCCTTCCACAGGGAGGCAGCTTCAGAGAAGTGCAGACAGGGCCAGGGTCTCAGGACCTTTATTGAGCACACGGCCCCTGGTGGTGCCGATGGAGGGACCCTTAGGCCTTCCTTCCCAGCAGCCTCCGCCACAGTTCCTGGCTGAGCAGAGCCTGTTCTCTGCGGGCACCCTGAAGTACACTCCGGTTCTCCTGAGCTCTCCGGATCAGGTAGGGGATCACCTCCTCCAGGCAGCCATAGGGAATAGACTTATAGACCACATATCCAGCCTGCCCTGTTGGGGAGAGGATTGGGTGTGTGTGGGCTCAGGGAGAGAGCTGTTCCTGGGAATCCGCAACAGCAGTTAACTCCTCTGCTCAGAGGATGGCAGACTGGGTGTTTGAGATATAATTCATTACTAAAAAAACACTCTACCGCAAGCAATTAAAACAAATGATTTTCCTCTTCTCCCTCTGTTCATCCCTCCCTTCCTCCCTTCTGACTGGTTATGAGATTGACATCTATCTATCTATCTATCTATCTATCTATCTATCTATCTATCTATCTATCATCTTTTCTTGAGACAGGGTTTCTCTATGTAGCCTTGGCTGTCCTGGACTTGCTCTGTAGAACAGGCTGGCCTCAAACTCACAGAGATCCACCTGCCTCTGCCTCCCAAGTGCTGGGATTAAAGGCATGCCCCACCACGCCTGGCTACAAACACCTCAGTTGAGAGCAAGGGTCTACTAATTCAGGAATTAAGAAAGTGAAAGCGCAGACACGGGAAGCCAGCCTGTCCCTGAAGGAGAAATTGCTGTTGGATAACCTAGCATGCTATGAGATTCTGTGGAGTTGGGAGCCTGACTAGGCTGGGAGTTATTGGGGCCCTGTCCCACATTAAACTAGAACTCAGAAAAAGCACACCTTCTGAGGGAGAGTCTGTGGGGTGTTCACCCCCCACCCCTCCACACACCTAGAGAACGTGTTAGGGCAAGAAGAAGCCAGAAGTCAGGTTGTGTTGTGAGAAGGGCCTCCTTGCACTGCCTGAAACTGGACGAGTTGGCCTGCAGGCTTCTGGAGCCTCTGCCTCCCACCCCACAGGCGTTCTAGGATGACAGACATTTGCAGCACTGTCTGGCTTTCGCACGGGTTCTGGAGATTTGCACGCTAGGCACTTTACCCACTGGGCATCTTCCCAGCCATAAAGAGCTTTTGTCACCCTTAATGCCCCGCCTAAGGAAAGGAGTCTGGTGTACAGCCCCAGGGACAGTAGTCAGGATGGGCAACATGGCGCCTTAAACAAGACCTGGCACAAACCAGGAAAGAAGACACAGGACACAGCCCTGCAAGGGCCGAGGGTACTGGACCACTGATCTGTCGGGAAGGAACTGGAGGATGAGCCGGGTTTCCTGAGAGAGTGGAGCTAGAGGGTGGCTGGGGACAGCAGGAGGGATCCGGCTGGGAGGGGATGGGAGGCTGGGGGGGGGGGTAGAAATGGAGGGACGGGCCATTCCCCTACCTAGGGCCAGGGAGACGTGGTCACACATGCCCAGAAGTTGTCCAAAACAGACAGGCCCATCCGGAGGAATGCCCAGCTCCCACATGCTGCAGAGGGAGGCACATCATCAGTCCAGACAGTGGCTAGAGCTAGAGAGCAAGTCAGCCATTCCCCACCCAAGAGTTCAAATACGGGTGGGCAGCTGGCCACTGGAGCCACAGTTCCTCACCCACAGCTTCAACCCGGGATCAAGCGCCAGGGTGGGCCGGTCTGTGCTAAAGACCTGCACGGTTTCCCCTGACAGTGTAACTAGTTATGTAGCGTTTACACGATCACTCTAGGCGGTATACATAAGCTTCACGACACCAAGCCCACAGGAAGAGGTCCAGGGGCCACCTGCAAATATTAAAATATCACAGCATCTGACAGGAGGAACTTGAGCATCTGAAGATTGTGGTTTCCATGGAGATTCGTCCTAGAACAAGTTTTCCACAGACGATTCTGAGAAATGACTCTATCCTCAGGCCCAGTGGTAAACAACCACTGCAGGGCTGGAGACACGGCTCAGTGGTTAAAAGCACCGACTGCTCTTCCGGAGGACGTGGGTTCAAATCCCAGCACCCACCTGGCAGTTCACAACTGTCTGTAAGTCCGGTTCCAGGGGATCTGACACCCTCTTCTGGCTTCCCCTGGCACCTGCATTCATGGGTGCACACACACACACACACACACACACACACACACACACATAAAAATCAGATCAAATCAGTAACAACTCCATCAGTTCTGTTGAGTGTCAGCCACTCCCTGGAATCTCTGTCTCCCCTGTGTCTCGGTAAATAAGGGACAATGCCCTGTCACACAAAGGCATAGAAGATTCTTACTAGGTAACCCAAGTTGGCATCAACTTCTTGATTCTCCTGCCTCAGCCTTCTGGGGACTGGGTAGCAGGTGTGTGTCATCATGCAGGGTGGGGTTAAATATTTGCAACGACCTCCCCTCGAGCCTCCTTACTGAACCTCTTCTTGTTCCTCATTCCCCACCCCCTTCCCATCATGGCCAGGCAGGCACAGGAAAGGGGCGGGGCCTCTCAGGGCCCCCGGTCTCCCGTCCCCTAACCTCATACCGCTTAGTCGCCTGGTGAACAGACTCCTCATTGTGGGAAGCCACCATGAGGTGGCACAGGGGGCCGTGGTGGGACACCCGTCGCAGCATCAGCTCCAGACAGCGGCTGTAACTGAAGGAGGGCTCCGCTCAGCTCACGGAGGGGACGAGGACCAAGCTCGGGGACTTGCACTATGGGCACAAGCTCCTCAGAGCTGTCTCTCTCTTCTGTTTTCTGACACTCAGTCTCACTGGGTAGCCCAGGCCCTTGAATTCATGGTCCTCCTGCCTCAGCCTCTCTCGGACAAGGGTGACAAACGTGCTTCTAAAGGCCAGGACTGAATGGTCTCTGACCCGACAGCTGCCTCGGCCATGCCCGAGATGACATTTACCCAGGGTTAGTTTCTGCAGCATGGATGGATTTTGTTTGTTTGTTTTGTTTTCTTGAGACAGGCTTTCTGTGTGTAGCCTTGGCTGAACTGAACTTGCTTTGTAGAACAGGCTGGCCTCAAACGTAGCACTCGGGAGGCAGAGGCAGAGGCAGAGGCAGGTGGATCTCTGTGAGTTCAAGGCCTGCCTGGTCTACAGGGTGAGTTCCAGGACAGCCAGGGCTACACGGAGAAGCCCTGTTTCAAGAAACTACAACCAATCAACCAACAAAGCCTCGATGGGGGAGGCAGGATGAGCCGACACCACCCAGGTCCCTCTGCTTCCTGACTGAGGACTCAGCGTGGCCATGTGTGAGAGCCGCCTCATGCCCACGCTGTCACACCTCAAACCATGAGACAAACAAACCACTTCGTCTTTAACTGGCTTTTGTCAGAGCTCTTGTCACAGCGGTGAGAAGAGTAACATATATGTGCACCGAACATGATTAGTGACAGCCCAAGTGTCCCCAGCAGGGAAGTAGCCTCAGGGGTGATGACTGCAGAGGAAAGCAGCTAAGCTGAGGGTGGCTGTGGAGGGGGCCGGGAAGGACGGAGGAGGAGGTCCTGAGCCCTGCAGGGGCGGTGGACATGGAGACACACACAAGATGTTTGGCTCAGCACTCCATGGAAGGTAATGAGCATGTCATTCCAGCTACTCTGGACGACGAGACAGGAGGATTGCAAGTTCAAAGCCTCGCTGTGCTATAGAGTGAGTTCAAGGTCTCTCTGGGAGCTTAGCAAGAGTGTGTTTTAAATACAAGGCTGGGATGTGGCTCAGTGGTGGAGCCCCTGCCTAGAATCCCCCAGTGAGGGGCTGGGGTGTGGCTCAGTGGTAGAGCCCCTGCCTAGAATTCACCAGTGAGGGGCTGGGGTGTGGCTCAGTGGTAGAGCCCCTGCCTAGAATCCCCAGTGAGGGGGCTGGGGTGTGGCTCAGGGGTAGAGCCCCTGCCTAGAATCCCCCAGTGAGGGGCTGGAGTGTAGCTCAGTGGTAGAGCCCCTGCCTAGAACCTCCCAGTGAGGGGCTGGGGGTGTGGCTCAGTGGTGGAGCCCCTGCCTAGAATCCCCCAGTGAGGGGCTGGGGTGTGGCTCAGTGGTGGAGCCCCTGCCTAGAATCCCCAGTGAGGGGGCTGGGGTGTGGCTCAGTGGTGGAGCCCCTGCCTAGAATCCCCCAGTGAGGGGTTGGGGTGTGGCTCAGTGGTAGAGCCCCTGCCTAGAGTCCCCCAGTGGTTTCTCCCGCGGCCTCTTGGCCTCTCCCTACCTTCGGCTAGTGGCCTCGTAGTCGGGCTGAGTGCAGTCCTCCGTCCCGTGGAGCTGGGCCACAGCCCGCTCCTTGTCCAGATAGGCCCCGCGCACCAACTTCACCCCAAAGGCCAGGCCAGCCTTGTGTGCGGCCTCGGCGTCCCGCTCCAGCCGTTTGTGGGTGTCCTGCGGGGCAGGGGGGCGCACAGGCAGCCTCAGGAGGATGGGGTGCCGGGCCCCACCCACGGCCCCGCAGAGCACAGCACCTACCTTCAGGTAGGCCTGGTAGGTGTTCCACACCCAGGGCCCGCCCTCCCCGGGGCGGTTCCAGCGCGCGGCCAGGGCGGCCGCCAGCAGGGACAGCGCGGGGTTGATGAACGTGTACTCCGCGTCCACCAGGAGCCTCACGTGCTGCGCCCGGGCATGCTGCGGGGGAGGGGACCGAGGTCGGGGACAGCGGCGCCCGGCGGGGCGGGGTCCGGCGGGGCGCGGAGCCCGGCCACGCACGCCTTACCTGCGCCACGCGGTGCAAGCGGCGGAGGGAGGCCTGCAGGTGCCGGTTCTGCTCCGTGCTGAGGCAGGGGAGCTGGACGCCCTAGGGGGCATCAGGGAGTCTGCTCAGCACTGCTGGCTCCTCCGCTCTCCCGCCAGGAAAGGGTGTGTGTGTGTGTGTGTGCTCGTGTCTGTGTGTCTGTGTGAAGAGCGTGTGGGAAACCAGAATTTCTGGGAAAGCATGCCTGTAATCTCACAGTTTGGGAGGTGGAGGCAGCCTGGGCTAGTCTGTCTATAGAGAAAGAAAGGGGCCAGCGAGCTGAACCTGTGGCTGAATGCAGCTGCTGGTAAGGCTCAAGACCCGAGTTCAAGTCCCAGGACCCACGAGGTGGCCGGAGACGCTGAGTCCTCAGAATTGTTCTCTGACCTCCACTCCAAGCTGTGGACGTATACCGGGCAGCCCACACAGGCACGCACGCACGCACGCACGCACAAGCTACATCAAAAAAGATGTAGAAGGAAAAAAAAAAAAAAAAAAAGGAGGGAAGAAAAAAGGGAAGGAGAAAGCCGGGGCGGCAGAGGGGGTCTCCAAAAATAAGCAAAATCACCACATAAGCCAGTCATGGTAGTGTACAGCTGTAGCGTTATCGTTTAGGAGGGGGAGGCGGGAAGGCTGGGAGCGAAAGGCTACCCTGGGCTACGAAGTGAGTGAGAGGCCAGCCTGGGCTATCTGAGATCCAGCCCTAAAAGGAAAAGACAAGATCAAACCCAACCAAAACTCACCCCCAGGCTGATGGGGAGTCCTGGAGCCACAGGAAGGCTCCACGTATGGAAAGGGAGCTGCGTGGTCCTACTGTGTGTTGTGTCCTCAGGCTCATCAAGGGCTATCTCTGCCGTCTACCTGGGACACGCGCCCCAGGCTCACCTAGAATTCACTGTGTGGCCAAGGACGGCCTTTAGCTCCCCCCCACCACCACCACCACCACCACGTGCTGGGTCTCTGGGAGTTTACCATCAACCTGGCTCGGCTGGCAGTTTTCATTAAACATTCGTCTTTAAGTCAGGAGGCAAAACTAGTTTAAACGGTTAGGACGCTCTACCCGGCCAGTCCCCAGCCCCAGGCAGCCGGAGGGGCGCGGACGCCCCCGCCTCCAGGCGGCGCCGCTGGCCTCGCCACCCACAGGGTCTGCGCCTGAGGCCTGGGGAAGGGCCCGGCAGAGCGGCCGCTCGACGGGGGACCCGCGCCCGGGGGAACCGGCGGCTTCCAGGCCTCTGCCGCCCCCGTGTGGCCACCCCGGCAGGCGGCGCGTGCTTCTGGGCGCGGGTCCCGGATCGCGGCGTCCCGCCCCGCGGCCCTGACGTCCCCCCACCGGCGATGGGCGTCCGCACAGGGCGACGCGCGGACCAGCCGGGCTCCCTCAGGTTGCGTTTGTCAGAGGCTTTTAGCGCAGCGACGGGAGGACGCGCAGACAGCTCCTGCCCGGTGCTGCCGAGCGACCGTCCCGTGGCATTCCTACCGCAGTGGGCGTGACAAGCCACCCGGAGAGGATTAAGGGACAAAGGGGGGCGTGCAAACCCACCGTGCCATCTCGTGTGGCGGGCCTGAGGCCTGCACGCATGCTTGAGAACACGCATAAACTCTCGCCCTCACACACACACACACACACACACGCAGAAACAGGGCATTAGAACAATACTGAGGAATGAATGAATGAACGGAAGAATGCGCGAATGAAGAATAAACGCATAAAGGGCTAGGCCTGGTGGCCAGCATTTGTCACTCCAGCGCTGGGAAGGCTGAGAAGGCAGATTGCAAGTTCTAGGCCAGCCTAGGCTACCCGGGAAGAGCCTGTTTCAAAACACAGGCACACAGAGGGGAAGGAAAATCCCTTGTAGCAGGCATAGACTAGTGTAGCTACTGACTGGCAAACAAACAAACACCAAAACCAAACTTATTTTCACAGCAGCGCATGCCTGTGTAGCAGGGTTGGGGACACGGGGGCGGGAACGTGAGGGACATTTTGGCTTTCTTGAAAGCTCACTTATGTAAACATGTTTCCCTTTTAACCCCAAGTGTGGGATTTCAGCTGGGTTTATCACAGCTGATATTCATCTGATGCTGGGCGGGCACGGCCTTTCACAGCTGGTGTGGCCCAGACGGGGCGTGGTCCAGGGCTCTGGGGGTATAAATGTGAGAGCCCAGGAAAAGGTGTGGCCTGGGGTGTGGCGAGTGGCAGTTTGGCGAGGCTAGAGACGTGTGGAGACAGAGGGAGGAGTCAGAGGGAGAGAAACAGCCCAGCCCAGAGACGTGGACCCATCGAGCCCAAACAGCCGGGAGAAGTAAAGGGGTCTGCAGCCCCTCTCCCCACTACCCACGAGCCCTCTCTCCTGCCTGTGTGTTTTTGAGGTAAGTCTCACTGTCCGGCCCAGGCTGACCACAGTGATGTCATCCTCCTGCCTCAGCTTCCCAAGAGCTGGGATTACAGGCATGCAGGGCGGTGCTCAGCGACTGACCAGAAACTCATGTCCTGTCCTCTGTGGAGACCGTGCTGCTGTCTGGATGCCTGCTCCGGGAAGCTCCTCACCCCCTCCCGCCCCTAGGCCCTCAGGAGACCCACATTTGTCCAGGCCGCCCTCGTCCTCGGTGACTCCTTAGTCCTTACCCGGCCCGAGTCCATGGCTTCCGCCAGCCCCTCAGGGCTCAGCTCCGAGGAACCTCCTGGCCTCTGGATCCAAGCCGATAGATCCTTCTGAAATGGGGTGGCGGCTGGCACGGTGAGGGTACCCTGGGGCGGGGGGGGGCGCGGCCACGTCTGGGTCCCCATCCCCGTCCCGCTTGTCACTTACACAAAGCTGGGTGCTGGCCAGCGCCGTCACCTTCAGCTGCATGAGGCTGCTCCGGGCGGGGCCGGGGGCGTCCGCGAGGGCTCGAGACAGGTCCACGCAGCGCAGCATGGCGCGGAGGTTGCCCTCGTACCAGGCCTCGCTGCGCGGCCGGCGAGGTCAGCCTCCCCGGCCGGGAGCCCCCTCCCTGCCATCGCCCCTCCTCCCCGGGACCCCGGCTCGCTCTCTCTCCGCTCACCTGCTCTTGGCAGCGGACTCTGGCTCCTCCTCGGTGGGCACCGCCAGCAGGGGCTGGAGCCCCAGGGCCCGCAGCTGCCGGACACAGCCCTCCACCTCCTCGGCCGTCTCCCCGGCCACGAACTGCCCGTAGACGGATGCTCGGAGGAGCGCGCCCGACAGCCGGGAGCCCAGGACCCTCCGAGACCAGGCCTGGAGCTGGGGGGCAGCGCGGGAGGGCTCAGAGCCGGGTCGGGGCCAGCCCGGGCCGGCCGGCCCCGCGCCCTGCTGCTCACCGCGAGCCCGTGGGCCACCGCGGGGGGCCAGGCGCACAGGCGGAGCACCAGCCAGGCGCGCGCCAGCTCCGCCGTCCCCTTGAGGCGGAAGGCCCCGCCGTCGAAGCGCAGGGGCCGCCGGCCGCCCGCGGAGGGGCGGGAGGGGCCGCAGAGCCGCAGACGGGTCCAGACCATGGTCAGCCTCCGGTCGCCGCCGCACCGGGGGAAGGGGCCGGGCGGACAGCGCGCGCGCGGCAAATGCCCCTTGCCCAGCTTTGGGGGTGGGAGGGGTGGGCGGGGGTGGGGGCGGTGACTGATTAACCGGGCAGATCTTTAGGATGGCAGGCGCTTGGGGTGGGGGGGGGGGGGAATAATTAAAGGGTGGGGGGAGAGGGGAGAAAAAAAAGGGGGGGGGGCCCCCCCCCCCAGTGACAGCCCCCAGTAACCTTCAGCCCGACGGTGCGGCAGACCTCAGGAGCCCAGCTTGCAGCCCCAGCCTCGCCTCTCCCGTGGCCATCGCTGCATCTGCAGGCAGGGGCAGGGCAGGGCCACCGCACGCAGCTCACAGCCCTGTCGCCCGCGGGGAACAGGTAGCCAGCAGAACTTGAACGTGGGCATGGGGGGGGGATGACGTAATGGCCCAGCCCCAGATGAAAACCACCCAAATGTCCACCAAACGGGACTGCATGATGACCACGAGGTGTCCGCATGGGGACACGGGCAGTGGGCTCTTTGTTCGCCACCACGAGTTTGCTTTCCTTTAGGATTGCCCCTTATTTTATAATAAACCCGTGCGTCGCCCGCCATGTCCAAACTCATGCAGTCCCCGCAATGGCCAGGAGAGGGCACCAGACGCCGCCTAAGGTGGTGAGCCGCCATGTGGGTGCTGGGAATTGAACCCTGGTCCAATGGAAGAGCAGCCACTGCTCTTCACCACTGAGCCATCTCTCCAGCCCCTACAGTATTTTTAAGATTTTTTTTTTTTTTTTTTACTATTTTAATTTCATGCGTGCACGTCCGTCTGCGCATGTAAGTGCAGGCGCCCACTGAGAGGCCGCAGGTCCATCGACAGCTGGGGTGCCGGGCAGGTCTGTGTCATTCAGCGTGACCGCCGGGAATGAAACAGGGGTCCTCTGGGAAAGCAGCCAGGGCTCCTAACTGCTGAGCGGGCTCTCAGGAGAGGGAAACAAACAAACAAACAAACACACTGGACTCTCACACCCAGGCTGGCTTTGAAGCCACAGCAATTCTCCTGTCTCAGCGCAGCCTCCCAAGTGGTTGCAGGCATGCGACACCATGCCCAAGACACGCTCGGGCTGGAGAGATGGCTCAGAGGTTAGAGCACTCACTGGCTGCTCTTCCAGAGGTCCTGAGTTCAATTCCCAGCACCCACACAACTGTCTAGAATGACAGCCTGCAGTCATGAAAGCAAGGTCTGGAGGAAGAAGTGTCCTTATGAGCCGGGTGAGGCTCACGGCCGTAATCCCACACGGAGGAGGAGGAGGCAGGAGGATCATCACACACATATATAAACACACACACACCTAAATCAGAGTTGCTGGAGAGATGGCTAGCAACTTTCTATCTAGTCCAGGTCGGTCTGGAACTCACCATTCCTTTGCCCTGTCTCCTGAACAAAGCTTTGTGGGGCGGTCAGGTTTGCCAGAGCCCTCCCACCGGGTGCCGACCGGATCCCAGGGGGACCTTTCCAGACGCCCACGGACAGGCCAGAGCAGGTCTAGCACCTCCCCCTAGTGGAGACTCAGGGAAATGCACGCGCCTCAGCTTGCTCACCAAGAGGCCAACGGGCCACCCCGGCCAAACCCATTTGTTCTATTTAGCTCGTTGGATACCCCACCCCTAAAATGCTATCGTAGTCCGGCGTAGTGGCGCACGCCTAGAACCCCAGCCCTCGGGGGGCAGAGGCAGGTGGATCTCCGTGAGTTCGAGGCCAGCCCGGTTGGTCTACGGAGTGAGTCCAGGACAGCCAGGGCTACATAATGAGAGCCTGTCAGGAAACAAACAAAAGATGCTGTTGTGATGCCCAGACACGGAGTCACGTGCCTGCAGCTCAGTACTAGCAAGACTGCAACAGGAGAGGCCTGGGCTACGCGGTGAGGCCCTGCTTCAGAACAGCAAAGGCGGAGCACGCGCACGCCCCGGGCGCCGCTTAGCAGCACGGAAGAAATCTACTGAGGTAAGAACACGCGCAAGATAAGAACTTGTGACTTAGCCACCTTCAAACATCTTCTGTTCTCGTTAATGCCGTGTCTGTGTGTGGATAGGTGCCCACGCATGCAGCTGACCGGGAGACCAGAAGCCTGAGTCGGGAGCCCCTGGCTCTGGAGCCTCCTAAAGTGGGTGCGGGAATCGAACCCAGGTCCTCTGGAAGAGCAGGCCTCACTCCTAACTGCTGAACCGTCACTCCAGCCCTGAACCGTTTCTTTTCTTTTTAAATTTTGATTATTATTATTTTTGACGTCCTGACCAGAGTTTCCCCTCACCCCTCTCCCCCAGTGCCTCCCCACTGCTTCCCTCTGCCCATGCTCCCCCCACACACACACCGGCATCCGTTTCTCTTCAGAACAGGCAGGCTTCACGTGGACAGAACCAGCCCTGGCACCTGAGGCTGAGGGGGACACCTCCCTCTGTACGGAGGCCGGACCAGGCAACTCAGTGTGAGGAAACGGGTCCCCAAACAGGCAGGAGAGTCAGGGACAGCCACTGCTCCGCCGTTAGGAGTCCCACAAGACGGCCAAGGTAAAGAACATACTGTAACATACATGAAGAGGACCGGGGTGTGTCCTTCACCCTTCTTCCCCATGTGGGATCCAGTTTCCCCGGGCTCAGGCGCTGAAGAGTGTTCACCCCACATCAAGCAGCCTTTGCTCCTTTGTCAAAAAGCACACGTACATATGTGCGGGCCAAACAGTCACATGTGCAAAATAAATGTTTTTAAATGTCTGGCTGTATGTATGAGGGCTTCTTTCTTGGATTTCTATTCTAGTCCATGCAGTATTTTGGAATAAAATAGAGGAATATTGTATATTTTTTGTCGTGCCAGCACCAAAATGTTTTGGATTACTGTTGGTTCGTAGTAGGTTTTGGAGAGAGAGGACATGAACCCTGGGACAGCAAGACGGGCTAGGGGTTAGAGGCGCTTCCTGCCAAGCACCATAGGCCGAGGGAAATAACCGACCCTCACAAGCCACCCTCTGAGGGCTGGGGAGATGGCTCAGAGGCTAAGAACACTGGCTGCTTTTGCAGAGGATCTGAATTCAGCTCCCATCTCCCACAGTGGCTCACAACTGTCCGTGACTCGTTTCCAGGCACCCGACGCCCTCTTCGGGCCTCCACAGGCACTGCATTCGCACAGTAGACACACAGATACCACACACAATTTAAAACTAAAAACAAATCTTTTTAAGAAGGAGTTCTCCTCTGACCACAACTTACACAAACAAGCAAACTAATTAATTAATGTAGATTTTTAATAAAGGAAAGCATGCCAGGCCTAGCAGCACACGCCTGTAACTCCAGCATTGGGGAGGCAGAAGCAGGGTCGTGAGTCCAAGGTCGGCAGGATCTACACAGTGAGCCCCTGTCTCACAAAAAATTATCTGTCACCACACATGAATGGTGGCTTGCCCTGTCAAGCACGGGACACACACACATGCACACACCGCAGTAAAGTTTTTATTCCAAAAAGGGAATCTAGAATGCCACGGCCCGAGGCGACGCCCAGCACGCTCTGCTCGCTCGTCAATGCATCAACACTTTAACTTTTCTCCTGCATTCCTCATATTCCTCCACTGCCCACGTGAGTTTGATCTCCTCCTTTTCCGTCTCTACGATGTGCACCTTTTTGTTTTGAAAGGAAATTGAAGCTACCATGTCCTCTAATCTAAGTATGTGCCCCCTAAGCTTTGCCCACCAATGAACTCACAAGTGTTCATTCCTTCACATTTACATTCTTATGCTAGAATCTGCTCCTGTTCGAGCATCGGTTTACACGTTTCACAAACTGTGGAGAGTAAAACTAAAACAGCCAAGATCTGACAACGGGCTCTAGTTTTGCTTATTACTATGTATTTCAGACTTAACTAAACTCAAAATGAACTGGGGTTTTTGTTTTGCTATGTTGGAGATTGTATTCAGGGCCTTATTCGAAAGAGCTCTACCCTTGAGCCAACCCTAAGCTCTTCACTGGGGGATTCTAGGCAGGGGCTCTACCACTGAGCCACACCCCAGGCCCTCACTGGGGGATTCTAGGCAGGGGCTCCACCACTGAGCCACACCCCAACTCCTCACTGGGGGATTCTAGGCAGGGGCTCTACCACTGAGCCACACTCCAGCCCCTCATTGGGGGATTCTAGGCAGGTGGTCCACCACTGAGCCACACCCCAACCCCTCACTGGGAGATTTTAGGCAGGTGCCCCACCATTGAGTTACCTCCACAGTCTCCCCTCTTTTAATTTTGGAGGTTTTAAAATAATTTTTGTTTTGAGTCAGGGTTTCTCTATGTAGCTTGGAACTCACTAAATAGCCTCAACCTTATAGCCTCCGGCCTCTGCTTCTCAAGTGCTAGGATTAAAGGTGTGGGCTGCCGTGCAGGTTGGATTTATTTTATTTCTATCTGTGTGTGTGTGTGTCTGTCTGTGTGGGTATGTACACGTGAGTGCAGGTACTCATGGAGGTCAGAAGAAAACACCAGATTCCCTAGAGCTGAAGGTACGCGTGACTGGGAGTCACCTGTTCGAGGTGCTGGGAACCAATCTCAGGTCCTCTGCAAGAGCAGTAGCTGCAGTTAGAGCTCTTAACCCCTGAGCCGCCTCTCCAGCCCCTATGGTTTTAGTGGCCCAGGCTGGCTTTGAACTTGCGCTTGTCCTGGCTCAGCCTGCTGCACAGCTGAAATGACAGGGTGGGATGCCATGCCAGCTTTGTACGTGTGTGTGTGTGTGTGTGTGTGTGTGTGTGTGTGTGTGTGTGTAATGCCAGGGCTGGCTGCAACCTGCAGCCCAGAACCTCACACCTACCAAGGCACGCACACTCCCACTGAGCATGGGCAGGATTTTAATAGGTCTTCCCTACTTCTAAAAATTTCACTTTTGGAAAGTATAACGAGCCCTAAAATGGATTTTCATTGTTCAGGTGTCTTTTCCAAACGGCTTTTTTTTTTTTTTTTTGTAGAAGTTTCATTCCTATAAAAGGAGTCTCGCTCGCCGCAGATGTCACCTCGAGTCTTCTTGTCACTCACACGCTTCCCTTCATGTCTTCTCCTGAAAAAGCCCATGTGCTGGTGTCACTCCCTGCTCGCTGAGCCAGCTCAGCAGGAAGGGGAGGCGCAGGCCAGTGGAGCAAGACATACCAAGGCTGTAGGAAAGGCACATCCCGGCGAGTCTCACACCAGGTGCCCCCTCAGCTCAAAGGGCAGAGAGCTCGGTTCCACCGCGCCCAAGTCTGCTGCCACCTCGTCATACAGTGCCCATGGAGCTTCGTACTTGACCTCAGGCCAGCGAAGGTCGTAGGGCCCCTAACAGGCAAGGAGTCAAGTCAGAGCCACAGAGATGTCCCGTGGGACGTCGCTCCAGCTCGGACACACACGCGCACACACACCACTTATGAGCATCCCAAGGAGCAAAAAAGCCTCAGGCCCGGTGAGTCAGCACACTGGCCTGCCATGCACAAGGCCTTATGTGTAATTCCCCGGGTTGTTGACAGCAAAGCAGAACCAAAGAGCTATCACAAACAGTCCCTGTGGCTCACGGTAATTCGAGTGCTCCGGGGCTCTTGCCTTGAGTTTGAGGAAATCTTGGGGTACACAGCAACTTCTAGGCTAGCCAGGGCTACCTAACAAGAACGCACCTCGCCTCAAAAAAAAAAAAAAAACAACTCTGTTGTCTGAAAGTGCAGTTTGAGAGAAGTCAAGGAGGAGTGAGGGCTGAGGTTAGGGAATGAGCAGACAGGAGTTGGTGATGACGGCACGTTATAATCACTCCCTCGTCTACGCCGGTGAGGACTGTTCTGTAATTAAGAATTGAAGCTGGGTATGGTAGCCTATGATGATAATCTTAGCACCCGGCAGTCCGAGGCAGGAGGATTTTGGAATTTGAGTTAAAAGCTTACCTGGCCTCAACATAGGGAGACAAAAGATAAATATATAGATAGATAACACACAGGCAAAATAACTATACCTAAAAACAACAATAATAAAGTAATAAGCTGGGCGCAGTGGCACACACCTGTAATCCTAGCGCTCAGGGAGGCAGAGGCAGGCGGATCTCTGTGAGTTCAAGGCCAGCCTGGTCTACAGAGTGAGCCAAGGACAGCCAAGGCTACACAGAGAAACCCTGTCTCAAAAAACCACAATAATAATAACAACAACATAGTGTAATAACAATAGCTGAGAGCCAGATGTGGTGACTTAAACCTGTAATCTCAGTATTTTTAAATCTGAGGCAGGAGGATTACCATTAGTGAGAAAGACCTGTCTCAACCAACCAACAAACAAACAAACAGCCACCTCATGGTGTCGGCTGTGGCATCTGTAAGGTGCCAGCCTCAATTCTGTCTGTCCCAGGGCTCCCAGCACATTTCCCTATCAAAATGGAGACGGTCTGGTGTGGCGATACACACCTGTGATCCCAGCAGGCTCTGGAGCTGAGGCAGGGGGATTGCGGGTGCAGCAGCCTGGGCTGCATACTGAGACTTAGGGGTAACTGTGGCATGGCTCGGGAAGTCATGACCCTTGCCACCAAGCCTGCCAACCTGCGTTCAACCCCAGGACTCACGCGGTGGGAGGAGAGAACTAATCTTTCCGGGCTGTCTGTCCCCTGAAGCCTCGCCCCCAGCACACACTCTGTGGCCCGGGCACGAAAGCACACAATTAATTAATTTTAAATGGATGAGAGGGCCAAGATCGTTCACAGTGGCCCCTTTCAGAGGTTGCTCTGTTGTAGGACCGGGAGAAAATGGATGTTTCCTTCCGCAAACCATGGCCCGGCATGGGCCCATGAGGCAAATACAGTCTCTCGCTCATCTGCTTCGGTGTTACCGAGAGCTACAGAAGGGTTGGTAATTTTAAAATGTTAGGGAAAAACCGGAGAGGGATAGTAGTATTCGTGCTGCATTAAAAATCGCCTAGAATTCGACTTGCAACAGCAAATATAAAGTCTCTCTGGGACGTAGCCTCGTGAGCGCATGTGTGCATGCGCTGTGACTGCTTCTGCCCTATGCCAGCGAGGAATAGTTTAGGGGAGGGCCATATGTCCCGAAATGCCCAGAGTGCTCGCTCTGGGGACCCTGCAGCAGAGACACCTCGCAGATTCGGCCAGCGTTTTCCAGAGAGCACGCGGTCCAGCACCACGGACAGCGCTCCGGCGGCTGGCCACGGGGTGGGACGGTGGAATCAGGGCCTGGCGCCTCCGGCTAGCATGGTCAGGCCCAGGGAGGGTCGGATTTTCTAGTTTTCACTTTTGAGACGGAGCCAGGCCGTGTAGCCCAGGCTGCCCTTGAACTCCCAGTCCTCCTGCATGCGTGGAAGACAAGCGGGGGCCACCCGTACTCAGTCTGAACGTTGGGCATGTGTGTCATCTCCCCTGGCATGATGAAGTGGGCGGGTGAGAGGTCAAAGGGCCTGCCTGTCACTGTCACCTGCCCGGCCACCGTCCTCGCTTCGTTCTGAGTTCTCTGCCCTCTCCCGTCTACTGAATACTTGCTGGCCTGTAATCTCTGACCCCATGGATGACCCCTGGGAGGTGGAGACAGGACAATCAGGAGTTCAGACATCCTCACCGGCATAGCAACTCTGAGTCCAGTCTCATAAACCCCCAAACCAAATGCCAGCACTGTGCACTGGGAACTACTTGGAAGAGAGACACGCTCTTTCTGACAGGATGGAGGTCTGGGTCTACGGGGAGATGTTCAGGGAGAAACGTTTTTTCGGCCAGGTTGTGCCCCTCGGCAATTTTAGCATGTAACTTTTCGGCAGAGTGGACCAAAAAATTCTCTCTGAGACCAGCAAGATGGCTCAGCCGGTGAAGGCACACACAAAAGCGGAAGAAGGGGAGTCCCACAGAATCGTCCTGACATTCGCAGGGAGATCGGCAAGCGTGCTTATCATGACACACGTGTGACAAGAAACACGCCAGCTTTTGGAAACTCCTTCTCTCTGTCGGCCTAACCGGTGTGGTGGAGGGGCTAGTTAGCTGAGGAAACCCGTTCCCTCCTGACCTGTGCCTGCTGACCCTGGCGGTGGGTGGGCTGGCACAGGACACAGGGGTACCAGGGGAAGACCCGGGTTCTAGTTTAGAAGGACTCCACCCGCACGGCTCCCTTTGTTTGCCCGCTGGAGACAGTCTCACTATGCAGTCCAGGCTGGCTTTGAACTCCCCTCCTCCCTCCTCGCTGCACCGAGACTTATCCACGCTGTCACCGTGGCTTATCCTGACCGAGGCACACAGCAGGAGGTTCCAACCTAGGCAACCCGGCGGTAAGACCCTCCTCACCGTTTGCACCTCATCGTAGACGGGTCCCCAGACCCCACGCGGGCTGTAGGCTCTCTCCACCTCATCATACAGGTGTCCAGGGAAGGCCGCGTCCTCCTCTGCGCCATCTAGGAAGCCTGGCGTTGGTGGACATTAGGGGTGGGATGGGCCAGTCTCTCCCCAAAGGGTGTCTAGGGTGGGGTTAACGTCCACTGCTAGTGGGGAATACTCTGGGAGGTCCTGGAGAGCTCGGTGGCGGGGGGTGTGGGGGGGTGCTTAGCCGGATAGCTTAGGTCACGGGGTATGTCCTGGGAGGGGGGTCTTGCCTCTGGTCCCTTTCCTGCCTGGCTCCCTCTCCTGTCCACCATGAAGGGAGCAGCCCTTCTCTGTCACACACGGGGCCAGGCAGGCAGGGGCAGAACCCCCTGAAGGGAGGCAATGGGAATCTGGGCCCTCAAGCTGTCCTCTGGGGTATTTCGGTGACAGGAATAAAAAAAAAAAAAAAGTGCCTGGCGCAGCTTGGACGCAAAGGCTCTCTGAGGCCCAGACGTGGGGGCTGCTGGAGGTGGGAGCCCTGGCTGGGCCTGACTCACCGTGGCGATAGGACAGCTCTTCCGGCGTTGGCGACAGCCGGGGGCTGAAATCCCTCCTGGAGTAGTACCGCGGCGGCTCCCCGTCTGCTGTGCTCACCTGCCGCGAACACACACACCCACACACACACATATACACGCTCATTCGCCGTGACTGGGGGGGGGGTTCCCGGGGGGCCTCGGCGACTGCCCGAGGCGGAGGCCGGCCGGGCTCACCGTGGAGCTCGTGTCCCGCTCCCCGCTGCGCCGACTCTCCGCGTAGTGGTTCCTGGCCCGGGGGTCCTGCGACCTTCCGGGATGGGGGCGGTGAGAGCCGGGCGCGGCCGCCCCGCCCTCCCGAGCCCCTGCGGCTCGCTTACCCCGCCTCCTCCTGCTCCTCCTCCTCCTCCGAGGCCTCTGGGGGAGACGGGAGGGGCGTCAGCGACCCCTCCCCGGCCCGGCAGGCTGCGCCCTGCGGCGGCCCGGGGTCCCCGCCCTGGGGAAGCCGCCCTCACCCTCGGCGAGCCGCCTCAGTCTTCTCCGCCGGAGGAGCGCCCCGGCGCAGGAGGCCGCGCAGAGCAGCAGCAGGGCGCCGACGGCCGACAGCACGGGCAGCAGGGGCGCCCGCGGGGGTCCTGGGGGCGGGGGGTGCCCGGGTGAACCCCAGCGTCCGGGGGCCGAGGGACCCCTGCCGGCGCCCGAACCACCCGGGAGCCCGGCGCACGTCAGGGCGTGCCAGGCCGGCAGGATGGGTGGGCTGAGGGGAAGGCCGGCCTGCAGGGTGGGCGGCGCCATCCCCCACCCCGGGCTGGGGAAAGAGAAAGCTGGCCTGAGCAGGGCCACCCTCCCCTGGGTTTCCGCCGCGGGGCACCGACACCTCCGAAACCGGGAGCGGAAGCAGATCCTTCCTGCCCCCGTCCCGTCCAGGGATGACGAAAGCTGCGCGCTGGCCCAGCACAGCTCTCCTCCAAGCCCAGAGGTGCACCCAGGCCTGTCTTCCTCTATTGCCCTCTGTCTTGTGTAAATACACCGTAAGGGTGCTGGGAATCGGATCCAGGCCCCCAGGGAGCACAGAGCCATCTCTCCAGCTCCTAACTGCTGAGCACTCTCTCTAACCCTAAAGATGTACTTGGTATTTTTCTTAAGAGATTTACTTACTGACTTTACATATATGAATGCTCTGACTGCCTGCACACCTGCATGCCGGTGGCCTGGGCCACTGCTTCCACGGGACTGGCCAGCCAGCTAGCGTTTGAGGTCCGCCTGTCCCTCTCCCAGGCCCCAGGCTCTTATGAGGTCCCTGGAGATCTGAACCCGGGTCCTCACGCTCGCCCCTTCTTCCCACCCAAGGGCAGGCTGGAAGCCTTCCGTCTCCCCGAGGCCGGGCTATGACTGAGAACTCCCCCTCCGCACGGCTCCATGCTGAGGCATGCTGTCTGTCTACAGTGGGGGAGGGGAGCTCAGCTTTCCTGCTGTCCCTGGACCCCGTGGCTGCCTCCGTGCGAGCACCCTACCCGGATAGGCACCTCCATTGTCCCAACCGTGAGCCAGGTGACTGACTCACAGGTGTGGAGGAAGCCATCTGAGACCAGACCCGGTCTAGTGGTCAGCTGACCATAGAGATGGCGGAAAGCAGCCCAGAACTGTCCCCACCGACACACAGAATCATGAGAAATAACGCGTGTGGCAAACTTGTGATCCTCCTGCCTCAGCCTCTGGAGTGCAGGCAGTATGGGCATGCCCTTGCTAGCAATTCTTTTAGAGTTAAGTCAGGGCTGGGAATATGGCTCTTACTCCTGAGCCATATTCCTGTGCAAGCAGGAAGGCCTGATCTGGAGCTTCAGCAGCCACTTGAAAAACTGGCTATGGTGTGTGTGTGTGTGTGTGTGTGTGTGTGTGTGTGTCAGGACGGAGACAGGAGGCTCTCTGGGGTCTGCTAGCAGCTCAGCCTAGCCAAAAATCAAACGGAAAGAGACTGGAGGGAGAGCCCAGTTTGGTTCCTAGCACCCACATTGCAAGCCTCACAGCTGCCTGTGACTCCAGTTCCAGCGGATCCAAGAGCCTTTTCTGCCCTTTGTGGGGACCCCCACACACCTGCCATTTACACACACATATTCAAACAAATGAATAATTATTATTAAACCTTAAGAAAAAAAAAAAAAAAGCAGAGATCTCTAGATTCACTGACAGACCATGTCTCAGGGAACCAAGCAGAGAGTGACAGAGGACACATAACGTCATCCTTGGGCCTCTGCAAGAGAACACACACACTCACACACACGTACATGCGTGGACATGCTCGAGCACACACACAGAGGTGCATGTGAACACGCAGCATTGAACAAAGCTACCCCAGGCATGGCGGCTCACACGTGTGAATCCAGCACTCGGCAGGCTGCGAGGTAAGATTACTACAAATTCATAGCAAGACCCTGTCTGAAAAAACACAGAGAAAAGAAGTGGGGCTGGGAGTGAACCTCAGAGGCAGAGTGCTTACGTAGCACCCACAAGCAGAGCCCTGGGTTTGAGCCCCAGAACTGCAACAATGAGAGAAAGAGAGAGAGAGAGAGCAGTTTAGGAAAGAGGAAGAGTGGAAGGGCACAGACAGGGTTGGCTGTGGCCTCGGGGAGGGGCCCGGGGAAGGAGCACTTGCCAGGAGGCAGCTCTGTCGGCAGCTGGTGGTCTGTGTCTTCAGGAGCCTGGTCCAGGCCTGCGGGAGAAGGAGATTAACGTTAATCCCAGGACCCGGATAAGCCCGAAGGACCCGAGACTCAAGCGCCTTAGCTGGTTTAAAGATCATGGGACCGCATGTGGCTTCTTAGGGGCGGTTTATCTATTTGTCTTTTTTAAGATTTGGGTTTTTTTTTTCCGTGTACTGATGTGCCTACGTGCAAGTGCTCACCGTGTGCGTGCCGGGTGCCCAGATGGCTGTGGGTCACCGTGTGGGTGCTGGAACCAAACCTACGCCTTCCGCAAGAACGGCAAGCGCTCTTAACCCCGGAGTCCAGGCCCCAGCTCGCTTAGTGACATCTTAAAGATGACAACATATTACAGCAGTTCTGTGCCAATAATAACAGTGGATTATTAATTAGTGTTTTATAGTGTTTATGTTCCTTTAACGCAAACTACCAATTTGTTGAGTTAATGAAAAAGATGCTGGAGTGGGGGAGATGGCCCAGGGGGTGAAGGCCCTTTCCCTAAGCCTGATGACCTGAGTTCAATCCTTGGGGCTGGTGGTGGAGGGGCAGAACTGGCTCCTGCAAGCTGCCCTTTGACCTCCATGGTCACGCTGAGGCACGTTTGCTGTGTATGTGATGGATGCACAATAAACACATAAATATAAAAACACTTAGAATAATTCAGACGTATTTATATAGAGATTATGTAAGAAGCAATAATAAATAAAGGAAAGAGACTATTTGGTTGGAAGGGAGGAGCAAATGATGTTATTCTATTTTAATTAAGAAATGGGACAGTGAGCTGGGCACGGTGGCACACACCTTCAATCCCAGCACTCAGGGAGGCAGAGGCAGGCGGATCTCTGTGAGTTTGAGGCCGGCCTTGTCTACAGAGTGAGTTCCAGGACAGCCAAGATTACACAGAAAAACCTTGTCTTGAAAAACAAAAACAAACAAAACAAAAAAAAAAAAAAAGAAAAGAAAAGAAAAGAAAAATAATATTTTAAAAATAAAAAGCAGAAATGTTTTTAAAAAGAAAAAAATAAATTTAAAAGAATAGTTTAAAGATATTTTTCTCTGTTGGAGTTCCACACCAGAGATACAAATTAGAAAATTAGAGCAAGGGAGGTGGAGCCTACATTGAGTGACAGCAGGGGGTGGGGAGGACAGAATGGAGGCTGCAAGGATGGGAGAGGACCCTGAGATTTCATGCAGAAGGAATCTGCCACCAGAGGAAGGCAGAACAGGAGGCATCCCTAGGCTATGGAAGCAGAAACAGCACGGGGACATTTCCTTTTCATTTAGGCCATAATTCTGCACTGTCGGAAGAGAACACCAGACATGCCTCCTTAATCCTCACAACCATCTGAGAGGAGCCCTCTTTTAGAAACCCAGGCCTTTTCTGGCTGGGATGGTGGAACACACCAGAAACCCCAGCATTCACAAGTGGAGGGCCAGCCTGGACTACACGGTGCATTTCCAGGCCGCCTGGGTTGCAGACTGAGATCCTGCCTCAATAATCAAAAACAAAAAGACAGAACAGAACAGCAACAACAATAAAACAAACCACCCCCTTATTGAAAACAGAAATATTTTGCTTCAGGCTACAAAACTAGGTAGGTAAACTTCAGGCTTCTATAAACCAAGCCCCATAGGGCTAACTCCTTGGCCAGTTGGATCTCAGTGTACTCATTGGTCAGTTTCTTGTGGTGCTGGGGCCATGGGCCTCTTGCTCTGAGACAAGGGCTCCACTGTGCAGCCATGCTCCCAGCCCCTCACTGGAGGATTCTAGGCAGGGGCTCTACCACCGAGCCACACCCCAGCCCCTCACTGGGGCACTCTAGGCAGGGGCTCTACCACCGAGCCACACCCCAGCCCCTTACTGGGGGATTCTAGGCAGGGGCTCTACCACTGAGCCATATGAGCTATATCCCTAATGTCATGGATCATCTTCAAATAATTTGTCTGCGTCTTCATAGTTACTGTGTGGTGTCCTAGATCATCTTTAACATTCCCTTAGAGTCCTCTTTGTGTCTGTGAAGCCAGAGGTCATGGTACCTCTTCATTTCTGGCACTATGAAGTTGTGCTCTCTCCCTCTCTCTCTGTTTTGTTTCCATGTATGTCTGTACACCACATACAAGTCTTGTGCTCCCCAGGCCCTGGATCCCTTGCAACCGGAGTTACAGACTGTTGTGAGCACCATGTGGGTGCTGGGAACCGAATCCTAGTTCTTTGGAGGAGCAGCCAGTGCTCTCAACTTCTTAACTATCTCTCCAGCCCCCTCTTCCTCTTTCTCTTAATCAGTTTTCTTTTTGGGAGGTGCTTTTGTTTGTTTGTTTGGCTTTTTGTTTTTGAGACAGGGTCTCCCTATGTACCCTGGGGAGCCTGGAACTGACCACATAGCCAGAAAGGCCATGACTACTCTGCGGCGATCAGAGGCGCCCACCACACACGGATCGCCTTTGTAAGTTCTCTCCCTCTCTGCCAAAGAGCCAGCTTTTGGCTTCATTGATTTTTCTGGTTGTATTCGCTGCTCTTTCCTTTTCTCTTCCTCCCGCCGTTGGATTAGAGTTTGGCCGATTATTCTCCTGCCGGTTCTCCAGGACGGAAATGGAATGCCCTGCAAGGTGCAGCTGTGGCCTTGTCACGCTCACCCACCAACTGATTCTGTGTGGGTAGGAGCCTCGGAGGCGAGAGGACAAAAGTTCCTGGGTCAGGTCTCTCCTCCATGATACGGATCCTGGGAACTGAACTTCCGCCGTCAGATTTGGCCGCAAGCCCCTTCACCCACGGAGCCATCTCACTGTTCTCCCTTTCTGTTTTTATTTTTCAATCTAATATAAACTATTTATGTTCTTAACTGCCTCCTACACACTGACGCAGCTAGAGTCTCATTTCTTTTTCAAGTTTTAATTTTCACTCAGAATTATGGCTGGGTGTGAGGGTACAGCCTGGTACAGCCTGGGCCAGCCTGGTCTACACAGTGAGCTCTGACCTGGCCAGAGGTCCACAGTCAGTCACTTTCTCAAAAGCCAAACTAGAAATACCCCTATTTTCTCATTTCCCGGTCATCACAGATCTGTGAGTAAAAGCTAGTCCCTAGCGTGTATCTGCCTGAGTTCAAGGCTAGTCTCCAGCTCCTACTAGCTGGGCGACTTTGGTTAATTTGCTTAAATTCTCTGGGCCTGACTTCATTCATCTGTAAGTGGCAGAAATAACAGCGTCTACTTTGCTATATCATCCCAAAAGTTGTCCAAAAAGCAAGCAGACAAACAGACCCCCAAATAACGTCAAGAACAAAACAACCAACCCCAGAAACGACAACAACAACCAAACTCTGCCTCTTCCCACCTCGGGTAGTGACGGAAATGTGGATCCCCTTCTCAGTCAAGCCGCTGTCCCCCAGGGCATTGCTGGCCAGCAGCCAGATCCTGTATCGTGTAGACGGCTGAAGCCCAGCCAGAGTGAAGGTGGTGGCCTGGGCTGGGAGGACGTCCACATAGAAGAACCCCGGCGTCTCCAGGGCCTCGTACCTGCGTGGGGAGAGCAGTCCGTGGGGCCAAGCGTCCCCAAGGTCTGCCCAGCCCCGCCCCTGCCTGGCCTGCCTTGGCGGAGGCCCCACCTGATCTGGAACCTCTGAGGCAGACCCCCGTCGAAGCCCGGCTTCCACTCCAGCCCCACCGAGTGAGGGGTCACGCTCACGACCTTCAGCCCCCATGGGGGGTCAGGCCGGCCTGGGGAGAGAAGGGAGGGAGTCGTCAGGGCACACAAAAGGAGGCTAGAAGTTTCCTTCCGGGGTCTCCTGAGAACGACGACGGTCCGTCCTTTTTATCCCTAGTTGCCATGCGCAGTAAGCTTACCTCGGTGGCTAAGAGCACCGGCTGCTCTTGCAGAGGACCAAGGTTCAATTCCTAGTCCCTGCATGCAGCCCTCCACCACCTGTGGCTCTGCGGGTGCCTGGCACACAAGCACGTATGCACAACACACATTCAGTCATACACACGACATGGAAATGAACAAATGAATAAAACAATGAGAAAAAAATTTTCTTAAGTTCGCTTTGAACACCGAATCTGAAAAGCCCAAGTGCTGCTTTCGGTGATCCACAGGGTGAGGGCAATCCTCAATTTTCTTCCAACATTTTTTGTCCCTTTGAGGCAGGGTCTCTCGCTCTCTGTAGTCTGGCTGGCCGGGAACTCCCGGAGCTCCGCCTGTCTCTCTCTCCCTGGTGGTGGGATCAAAGATGCGTGCCGTGACACCCAGCTACAAACAATTTTTTGTTATTATTTCACTTACTTATTTTTGGGTGTGCATGTGTTTTGGGGCGGTTGGTTGGAGTACAACTTGAGGGGGTTCTTTTTTTTTCCAGCATGACAGTTCCGGGGATGGAGCTCGGGTCCCTGGCCTTGACAACAAACAGCTTTAAGCTCTGAACTCTCTCACTGTGGCCCAACTGATTCTTAAAACTTTTACCTGCCTGTCTGTCAACCTACAGACAAGGGTCTCCATGTAGGCCTCAGGTTAGCCTGGAATGTTTCGGGCCTCTGGCCTTAGCTGCTGAGGTTACAGGTATGCACCCCTAGACTGGTTCTTCCCATACGTTTTTATTGGTTTTTAAACAAGCCACGTCGTTTACTGCGTATTACCAATTTGCTGAAAACGTGGCGAGCAGGAGGCTGAAGATTTTGGCTCAGTTGCTTAGTTAGCGCACACAAACGCCTGGGTTTGATCCCAGCGACGCTGGAGACCAGCATGGTGGCACACATCTGCAATCCCAGTGCCTTGGGAGGAGGCAGGAGGACCAGGAGTTCAAGGCCAGAATCAGGTACAGAGCGAGCGAGCGAGACGGCCTTCGCTCCGACCTGCCCTTCAGCAAAGTTTCCTCAACACAGATAATTCTTCCTTAAGGCGTATCATAACGTTCGCTCTTTTAAACATTTACTTATTTTTAGTTTATGGTGTGGATGTCTGCCCCCACGGGGGGTTGTGTGCCTACTACATGCGCACGGGGCCTGCGGAAACCTGAGGAGGGCGTCAGATCCCTGAATTAGAGTCACAATTGGTCGTCAGCGCCTTGTGGGGGCTGGGATTCGATCCCTGGTCCTCTGCAAGAGCAGCCAGTGCTTTAAACCGGTCAGCCATCTCTCCAGCCCCCACAAATGTCTTGGACTTAGGAACATGACAAGGTATTTTAGCCTTCTGCATGGGGACCATTTTAAATGACCGAAATATCAACAAAATGAAACACAGAACAAAACCCACTTATTTTGGAAAGGACACTTATTTCTGAGTGACCCCGAGGACAGCAAGGCAGAAGGCCAGTGGGTTCACCATCAATCAGACACGCCCACTAATCAACTCACATTCCATCTTTCTGGTACTCGGTTTCCATGACCACATGGCCATGAGTGTGGGCCGTGGAGGCACACATTAATCCAAGCACACGCAAAGCAGAGACAGCCAGGTCTCTGTGAGTGAGTATAGCCTTGACTATATAGTGAGCTCCGGGCCAGCCAAGGGCTACATCTCCATTTCAAAAGATAAGAACAAATGTAACAAGACAGAACCATAGTGCTGATTTAGAAGCCACAGGTGAGTTTTGTGAGTAAGTGAATCTGCAACACGCACACACTCACACGCACGCACGCACGCACCTCACCTTTTCACTTAACCTACGTCTTTGGCAGTTACATCCTGAACAACCTTGCCAACCACACTCCAGCCACATGCTTCTGATGGAAAGGACCTCGCTCCTGGCAGGAGCGACATGTGACTCGGTCTTGTCAATCCGTGTGGGGCTGCAGTGCGGCCGCTAAGGTACAAATCTCACACCTCCACACAGTCATTAGAAGGGAGAGAGCTGTATCCCCGAGTTAAGCTCAGCGACACATGCAAAGCGCTGGATCCGACAGCCTGCAACCCCCACCCCCAATAACCAAGACTCCACCGTCACCCAGCCCTTAGGAGATTAAGGCAGAAGAACACCATTTTGAGGCAGGTTTGGCTACACAGCAAGTCTGAGGTTTGCCTGGGCTACACAGCAAGTCTGAGCTCAACCTGGGTTATAGAACAAGACCTTGTCCAACCAAAACAGAACTCCCTTCCCATGTTCGAACACCGCTCAGACACCAGAAACACTTCCTGGTTCTCGCCAGCCCCCCCATCCTCCCAGCGCTCCCGTCGTACTGATGCTGACGAGCTGGATGTTGGTGTGGTCCGAACCCAGGGCATTGGTGGCTGTGCATGTGAAGAGGGCGTAGTCCTGGGCTGCAGACACGTTCGTGATGGTCAAGAGGCTGCTGTGGACCACGCCCTGGTGGTACCTGTGCTCCGTGTACCTGGAGAGGGGGCGCGGCGGGGCTCAGAACGGAGAACCGGGGCTGCGTGAACAGAGCTGGGGTGACGCCCGGCCCCACGAAGCTTCACCTGGGGTCCTGGAGGTCCAGGGGGACCCCGTTTTTGGTCCAAATGAAGTCGATGTTGGGGACCCCCCGGGCACGGCAGTGGAGCGTGGCTGAGCTGGTGCTGTCCCCAGCGGCAGCCACCTTCGTGAGGGGCGTGGGGTGATCCATCTGGGGAGCAACTAGGACAGAGCGAAGGTCAGGGTGGGGAGGAAGGAAGCAGGCGAGACGGGTGGGCCACAGGGGCACCCTGAAGTTACCCACATCTGACGACAAGCCGGACCAGCCCCCTGGCCGCGGGAGCCACCCCGTTGTCCACCACGCACTGGTAAGCACCGGCCTGCGCCAGCTTGGCCTGGCGAATCCGCAGCCGGCCCGTGGGTCCCTTGGCTACCGCCTCCACGTCGTCCAGGCTTAGATCCTCCTCCTCTTCCCCCTGGCACCCCAAGACCAAGGAGCTCGTCCGAAGTCTGTCCTCAGAGCCTCCCTCAAACTGTCCCCCTGTAGCGCCTCCAGCCACACCCCACTGTCTATCCATCGGCAGACTCGGGGTGCAGCGCACTGGTAAAGCCCTTCCTTGCCTAGCACGCCCAAAGCCCTGGACCCAGACTCAAGCACTAAAAGGCAAGCTGACCAGACTGCGTAACTGTTCACACACGCACTTGAGAGGAAGAGGCAAGAGGATTCCGAGTTCAGAGCCAGCCTGGGCTGCAGAGCCAGTTCCGGCCAACCTAGGCTACACGGCAAGACCGCGTCTCAAATATCCTGTGCTCTGATGATAACACAGGCCTGTCATCCCAGCACCCCTCAGGAGCATGCTTGAGCCAGCCATGGGCGGCACACCTCTGTAATCCCAGCCCTGTGGGAGGCAGAGGCAGGTGGATGCCTGTGAGTTCAAAGCCAGCCTGCTCTACGAAGTGAGCCCGGGACAGCCAGGGTTGCGCAGAGAAAGCCTGTCTCGAAAAACAACAAACCAAAACAAACCAGCAAACCAAGAGCACGCTTGAGGCTAGCGTGGGTTACGTCACCAGAGGTTCTCGGCCTGCGGGTCACGACCACTGTGAGGAGGGTCAAAGGACCTTTTCACAGGGCCACAGATCAGATACTCTGCGCACACACGCACACACACGCACGCACGCACGCACGCACTCACCCCTTCACCTCCATAAAATCGGTTCCCGCAAGCGCCCTGAGCTTAGAGTCGCACGGCCTTGCCCGCAGGCTCGCGCGCGCACACACGTGATCCACTCACTCCCGGCGCTCACCAGCCTCTCCCAGCTGAACATCTCCGGGAGGATGGGGTTGGCGTCCACGGTGCAGACGATGTCCACGGAACCCCCCACATTCACCTCGGTAGGGTCCCGGAGCGCACGGATGGTGGGGGCATCTAGTGGGAGACGGGGGCTTGGAGAAGGCGCCTAGGCCCTGACGGGGCCTGCGGAGGGGGGGTCCAGGGGGAGGGGTGCGGCCTGCCCTTTATGGGGGGAATTCTCAGCGTGAGGAGCCGATTTCCACCCTTGTTGTGGGCCTCTGTGGCTGGCGCCTGGTGTGTGTGTGTGTGTGTGTGTGTGTGTGTGTGCGCGCGCGTGCGCGCGTGCTCCCGAGGTGAGGGGTCCCCTTTCTGGGCAGATTCCACCCGGGGGTCTCCCTAGCCGAGGGGCAGGTGGTTCTGGGGCTTCTCCACCAGGAGGCCCCAGGTGGGCGACCCCCCCCAGCGGGCGTGTCCTCCGGGTCTCCCGGGCTTCCGGGGGGCGGGGCCTCACAGTGCACGTCGAGCCTCAGCAGCGCCTCGGCGGTGCCCTCGGAGTTCTGGCAGTGCAGCTGGTAGAGGCCGTCGTCCGCCCGGGTCACGTTCCACAGCTGCAGGGCGCCCCCGGGCAGGATGCGATGCCGGGGCCCGCCCCCTGCGGACGGCGGGGTGAGGGGCCCCGAAGGCCGGCTCAGCCCCCCACCCCGCATGCACACGCTCCCCGGCCCCCGCATCCCCCCGAAGGCCGGCTCAGCCCCCCACCCCCGCGTGCGCGCGCCCCCCCGGCCCCCGCACCCCACCTGGGCTGAGGCGGTAGCCTCGGAAGGTCCAGTTGAAGGCCTCCGGCGCGGGGTTGGCCGACACCGACACGGGCAGCAGCGCCTGGCCCTGCTCCACCGCCGTCACCGCCTGCACCTGCTCCCCCAGGAACTCCGGGGGGTCTTAAGTCAAGCGTGTCGGTGAGGCTGGGGTCCCGAGTTCAAGGGCTCAGCTTAGGGCCGAGGCTGGGCTCCGGTGGTGGGCAGGGCGACTGTCAGAGCTGAGCTCTGGGTGGAAGCTGAAACCTGGGGCCCTTAAGCTGCCGACCCCCTCCCCCACCCCCCCTGCACACCTGAGGGAGCACACACACAGGCCTGAGGGAGCACACACACAATAATCCAATGTAATTAAAAAAGGAAAAAACCCAAGCGGGCCGTGGCACATGGGAGACAGAGACAGGCCAGTCTGTCTGAGTTCCAGGCCGGCCCGAGTTCCACCATCAGGCACTGTCCAAAAAAACCGGGTTAGCGATAGGCAGAGCCTGAGGCAGGAGGATGGGTGCAAGTCCCTGGCCTTCCGACTCCACAGAGAGAGTTCCAGGCCAGCCAGGACGACGTAGAAAGACATTCAAAACCTTCTAAAATTTAAAAGTCGAAGCCCGGCAAGGTGGCGCACACCTTTAACCCCAGCATTTGGGGAGGCAGAGTTAGGCGGGGCTCTGTGAGTTCGAGGCCAGCCTGGTCTACAGAGCGAGTCCAGGACAGCCAGAGATACACAGAGAAACCCTGTCTCGAAAAACAAAAACCACACAAACAACAAAATTTAAAAACGGAGAAGCCAAGCTGAAGCCGGGCTGGAGCTTGGTCCAGGGTCAGGGGTCAGGGTGAAAGCTGGGAAGGTGATGAACTCTGGAGAGAGGTCAAGGCGAGGCCCGGGGTCTGCGGGGGCGGGAGGGGGGCGGGGGAGGGCGCTTACACAGCACGTGCAGGCGGTAGAAGGAGCTCACTGTTTCGAGGAGCGCCGCGCTGTGGGCCCGGCAGGTGACCCGCTGGCCGTGGTCCCGGGACGACACCCGAAGGAAAACACTCGTGGCCGCGGCGGAGCCTTTGAAGGGCGCGCTCAGGGGTCCCGCGGCCACGTCTTCCAGCCTGGGAAGGGAGGGCCGGGGCTGGGAACCGAACCCTTGCCGGGGAGCTGAGGGCACGTGGACGCGGTGGGCCTCCTGGACACCCACCTCTCTCCCTCCTTGTCCCAAGACAAGTTGACCGGGGGGTTGCTGCTGACGCTCACGCAGGTCAAGTTCAAGGCGTCGCCAGGGCGCAGCGCCGACGAGTTGGCCAGGATGGTCAGGTTGGTGGGGGGGACTGGGCGGGGCAGAGGGTCACGGGTCGGGAGCCTGGGCGGCCGGTTCGGGGTCCAGGCCCCTCCCTCTCCGCCCCCCCCCCCCCGCCCCCGGGCCCCCCCCCCCCCCCCCCCCCCCCCAGCCGCGGGGCCCGCGCGCTCACACTGCACCACCAGCTGCGTGGACGCGCTCAGCTGACCCGCCTTGCACGAGAACTTGGCCCGGTTGTCCGAGGGGCCTGCGATGAGCACCAGCTCGCGGGAGAAGGTGCTGCCCGACTTCTCCACGCTGCCCAGCTGCACTCGCCGGGGCTGCTGCGGCGGCCGGGGCTCGCTCACGGTGCGCGAGTCCTGCGCGCACAGACGGGCGCGCTCAGCGGCGGTGCCCGCAGGGGCGGGCAGGGGCCGGAATGGAGACCCCGGCTCCAGCCTCTCCTGCCTGCCTTGGGAGTCTTGGGACCCCGCGTGCGCGCGTGGACACACACACACACACACACACACACACACACACACACGCGCCGACCTCACCAGCCCTCTGCCAGCTGCGCGCACCACACACACAAGCCATAGCTGGGATGTTTACAGAACGCTGTGTGCCAGGAAACTCCCTTGAAATTCCCAGACCCCAGATGGGATTCTTGCGTCTTCTTGGCCTCCGCAGATCTCATGTAACCAGAGTTGGCCTCAAAGTGAGTCCTTTCTGTAGCCGAGGATGGCTTTGGACGCCTGGTCCCCCTGCCTTCACCTCCCAAGGGGTGGGATGACAAGCGAGCCACCTCTCCCCGCCAGCTATGTCAGCTCTTCAGCTGGAGAGATGGCTGGCGGTCAAGAGCGCTGGCTGCTCTACCAGAGGACCCGGGTTCGATTCCCAAGCCCCACGTGGCAGCTCGCAACCATCTGTAACTGTAGGGGATCTGATGCCCTCTTCTGACCTCCTCGAGGCACCAGGCATGAGTGTGGTTTACAGACAGAATAAAATACACATTAAAATTAAAAAAAAACTTAAAAATTTCAAAACCTGTCTACTTTCCCTGTTTCTCTGACCTTTTCCCTAATTCCGATATTATCCCTCAGCTATGCCTCTCTCTCTCTCTGTCTCTTTCTTCTTGTCTCTCTCCATCTCTGTCTCTTTTCCTTCCCTCCTTCCTTCTTCTTCTTTTTTTTCCTTAACATTAATTTTAATGTGAATGCTTTATCTCTAGAATTTCCTATCTTGATCTAAAGTTCCTTTTTTTTTTAATCCTGGAATTATTTTTCCAGATTTTCCTGAACTTTCCTAGGGTTTCATTATTTCTCATGGCATTTGTATCTTTTCAGAATCTCTAAAAGTTTGCCAAGAAATACGGGTTTCTCCACGTCCAGGGGGGTGGAGGGGACAAGAGGATCAAAGGGCAGGTCAGGGTTTAATCCAGGAAGAGGTAGCCAGAGCTCTGTGAGCTTGAGGCCAGCCTGGTTTACATAGTGAGACCCTGTCTGGAAAGAAAAAAATTTCAAGGCCAGCCTGGATTGCGTAATATCTTGTTTTAGGAGAGAAAATAGGGGCTGAGAAGGTGGCTCATTCAGTAACGTGTGTGTGCTTGCTGTCGCTCACATCCATGTGCACGTGTGTGCGCGCACACACACACACACACACACACACACATGAGCAGATAAATAGAAAAAAAAAGACAGGAGGAAGGAAAGGAGGGAGAAAGGAAGGGGCTGTTACCTTAAACCAGGTAAGAGAGGGGTCTGGGTTGCCTCCAATGGCCAGGCACACCAGCCTCACCCGAGTCCCAACCCGGAGGTCCTGGCCCTCTGGGGGTCCCTCAATCCACAGCTTCTGGGCAGGGTCTGGTGAGAGCCGGGGAAAGAGGGACATTTTCTTTCGTCTGGGCTGGGGGCTCAGGGCGAGGCCTGTGAAGCCCGAGTCCTCTCTGGGCTCGAGGAGGACTCACATTTCACATTCAGGGTGAGCGACCTCTTGAAGGTCTCCTTGCTGAAGGCCTCGCTGAAGGCCTCGCAGGTGAGGGGCAGGCCGTTGTCCTCTCTCCGCATCAAGAGCGTCAGGTTGGACATGGAGATGTAGCCGCCATGCAGGCCCTGGCGGGGAGCGGGCTTCAGATCTGGGGGACTGAGAAGCCCGCACCCACGGGAGCAGAGGCCCGAGTCCGGCAGACCCCAGCAGGGACACGCGCACTTCCCGCCTTCACACCCAGGAGCTGGGGCCTCGGTCTGTGCTCCTTGGGACCCAGGGCCTCCAGGGCCGTCGAGCCATCCCCACCCACATCCTCACATCCATGACGGTCTCATCCGTGGGCAGCAGCTGCCGTCCCCCCAGCCACCATCGCAGCAGGACCCGTGGGCGGCTGGACTTCGTGAGGCAGCAGAGGGTCGCGTTCTTGTTCTCAGACTGTGACACAGAGCCCAGGATGGTAACAGCGCTGGGGGGGACTGAAGGACAGCCGTATCAGGAGAGCTGGGAGTCCAGCTGGGGGTCTTTAACCCGGGCAGATGGGGATGGGGGGCTGACGGTGAGGTCTGTGCCATCAGAGGGGCCTGGCGTGGACGGAGAGGGAGGGGGCTGGACGCACAGGTGACCTGCAGTGTGACGCTCCGTTCCTGGGTCCCTGACACGCTGTTGTAGGACTGGCAGCTGAGCCGAACTCCGTGGTCCTCCGGCCGCACGGCCATCACCAGCACGCTGCGCGCCACCGCCTGCGCGTGCTCCGTGCCCCAAGCTGTGGACACTGGCTTGCCGTCCTGGACACGGAAGCAAGCCTCGTTATCGCCACGCCGGCTCCTGGTCCCCCGCCCCCCACGTCAGCCTCGACCCTCACCTTCAGCCACTGTAGCGTGGCAGGTGGATTTCCGCCTCGGGCTGTGCAGGGCACCTCCAGGCTCTCCCCTGCCCGGATGTGCCCCTCCTCCAGGCCTGGCCATTCAATGACAGGAGGGCCCGGGGGGACTGGAGAGCAGAGTGCATCAGGGGACCTGGGAATCCCTCCTGTTCTTTCCGGGCCCCATGACCTGCTTTAAATCTCCTTGTGTGGGGATGGGAGGTGGCTCAGGAGGGGAGGGTGGTTGCCGACAGGCCCAACAACCCGACTTCAAGTCCTACGTGGCAGAAGGAGAAACCTAACTCCTGAAGGATGTTCTCTGACTTCTCCAGTTGGTGTGTGTGCATGCACTCAGGCATGAATGCACATACTTTAGCCTCCTCCTCCTCCTCCTCCTCCTCCTCCTCCTCCTCCTCCTCCTCC